TCACAACGACTAACTGATATTTTCTTTGTAAATTGCAAACTGTACTTGTAAAATTATATTTGATTTCTTTATACCTGGCTATCTGGTGTCATTTATATTGCTATATTTTCTGTTCTTACGTGAATGGTTTAAAGTATCGGAATGGGGCTATTTACTACCCAATAAATGTATAACTATTTCAATGTGAACAAAAAGGTGACATGGACTGGTTTTTAATTTACTGAATGAATTTAAGAACACGCACTTACTGTATGCATACAACATTGGCTAACATTGTTACCAACAGTGAGACCTCTTTTACACTAACCCCACACCCCAGAGAATGTACAAAGTCAAAACAGCTTGGACTGTGGAACATTCACAACCCTCCCTAAAATTTAGCTCACACACTAACAATAGATATATCACAATGGTAAAGACGTAGATATTCAGTTGAGTTACCGCAAGCTGAAAAACTTGCAGGTCTCATCTTTTGACATGAACGTTAATTTTACTTGTGGAAAACGAACTTTCGGGTGAATTCCAACAGTGAGCTTCGTGCAAAGTATACCAAGTTCGTGGTATGTAGTCAGACACTTAAAAATGGCAGTGGCACCCCTCTCGAAGTTGTGTAAGACTTTAAGTGCCTTGTTGCCGGAATTTGCACCATTGACAAGGATGTGTCAACCGGAAAGCGTTTGCTTTCAGTGCCTGCACGAAACTCAGCGAAATATGGAAAGCTCCCCACCGAACACCTGCTCAAAAATGTTCATGCCCCTCACTTAGTTTGTGCGCATACGTAATGAATCCACTACAGCCAGAAGCCAGGAAAATGGCTCTTCACTCGCCGCGTCCAGGTGGCCCCCAAAAGTAATCTATCAGCCAGCGTCTGTGACGCTCAGCAGCATGACGGACGGTGGTTTTGTTCATACAGTGAGCCACATTACTACCAGAACGACACTGAAATTTGCCGGCCATTCTTTTCGAGCAACTGCACAGCCAAATTCGGACCTCACTTTTGTGGAACCATATCCAAACTCCACAACATTGCCCCAAAGTCAAACTCAATGAAGCAAGAGCTGAGGGGACTTATGCCTAGGTCAGGTCGGCAGCAATAAGCCATTTGCGAGTTGAATTTGAATAAAATCCGGTACGATCAGCTATTTGATTGTAAACGTTACGATTTGAATTCCCCAGACACTGTTGCTATTTTTCCCGATTTGCTTCGTACGTGTGACAGCATTTATAGCTCCACGGTTCGGGGCAAGCTTTTGTGTAGCGACCACCATCTCTGGAATGGTCTGGTTCCTAGACTTTGTGCCCTTCTTCTCCATATTGTTGCAAGGCGTCTCTCATGTAATTAAGTAAAAGCTTGTCCCGAATCACGAGATACAGCAACAGTAGTTTAGTATAGAGAATTCAAATGTCTATGTTCACGTGAATTTAGGAACTCAGTGTACCAGATTTTATTCAAATTTAACTCGCAAAAAGCTTGTGGCAATGCATATGGACGTGAACGACCGGAAATATACTTCCAGATGACATGATCGATGACGATTTTGATCCAAGATGCAGTAAACTGTCAGTTCTAGGTTTTAAACTGAACAGAAGTGACCATTTCTGTATTTGGCCGGTCACTTTTTCAGAAATTCAAATCGGTAAATGAATTAAAAACCGTTACTTTACCTTCGGTTTCCCTGCCGCTTTTCTTCTACAAGCACGTGGAGTCGTATGAAACGTCATAGTTCACCGCTCCTTAGCACGCCCTCTGTCGAGTAATTAAGCTACGCGCATGCACAGCACGGGAGTAGGAGTCTATGGACCAATCACTAGCACTAAGCGGGTATCTGCTGAAATGCTAACCATCCATGCAGGCGTCATGGGTATTTCTATTTCGACATTTCTACCATCGGGGAGATTACGTCTTTACTCGTGATAAAGGCTGCATCCGAATCTGTTGTCTAGAGCTAGGTCTAGGTCTTCCCTCCATTGGAAGTGTGCGGAGACGCTTAGACAATAGACCTAGCCGTAGCTCTGGAAGGCCGTTTCGGACACGGCCAAAATAATGCTATATGAGCCTCTACCTGGACCAAGAGATGGCGCAATTTTCTTAGCAACGGAGTCTCCTTTCTCGGAACTGAACTTCGCTGGTTCACGAATGACTTTTAAATGCCTACATTGCATACAGTTGCATCGCTATCAAAAATTGAACACTCCCGATCAAAATGGCTCTTTTCGACAGATGAAGGGGTGCTTCTGCGCGCATGCTCGAGGTGGATATCCAGATGGGTTGCAATTTCAAATGAAGCATTGAGAAGAACGAGTTTGTAAAAGCAGTTGTTGCAGTCGGCGTTAAAAATTAGCAGACTCAAATTTCCTGACCACAGTAACCGCTTTGAAGGAGGGCTCAGAGTGTCTGTGACCTGATATCGGACGGAGCGAAACTGAGGTTTGAAGAGCGGCAAAAGCATTCTTCCGCGCCGCGTATAATTTTACTATAGTTCTAATGACGTTTTCACCACAAGGACAAAATGTGATCTGTTGGGAGACAGCCAGTGAAGATATGAAACAAATTTTAGAAACTGCGTTTATTTCTGAAATGACTTTGTCTTTTCCTCTAAATGACCGGTCTCACATCTAAGACATTTTATTCAAATAATACAAAAGCATAATCCTATGTCCAAATTGGAATGATACGCAGTTGAGAAATTTTGTAAAACGTAGATTTTTATTTGTACCCAATATTAATATCAGGCGTTAGTCTCTCCATTTTTCATCAAGGGATTGATGATATGTAAAGTGTTAGTTTCACTTGTCTCATGAACACGTCCATTTTCAATTCAACTGATTTACCACCAAAACTTCTAAAGATCCAATTTCCAAAGTTTTACATCCATTTCTCAAATTCCATTATCGTGCAGGCATATAGCGAAAGGCACCCAAACCAAAAGACTAAGAAAATGAAATATCAGATTAAATAATTGCACATTGTAGCTATTGAAATCAAAAATGCGTTCAATATATATATATACATCACACGAGAAAAAATTACATAGATACACGTAGTTTGGAAATACAAGATTGCACATACTTCACCTCAATACACTATCCTTGCTATCAGCCACTGTAATCACAATGGCATAATACTCTCGTTAACAACACGGTTTTCATATTTCATTTTTTTATAACTTGTTTCTTCTCTTCCTTTTCGATTCATTCACTCGTTGGTCCATGTTTAGGAATTTACTGTATCGATTGAATTGCATACTTGGACAAGTTTTCTTTTCACTGCAAACCAAACCAATATAAATCCCACAACAAAAATGGCGTCATATATTTCATACATTGCCTCTGAACCCATATCATCAATCTAAACGTTCAACTTTCTGCAACTGTCGTCGACCAAGTCACATTAATAAAAAATCGGTCCTGTGCAGCGGAGGGTTAAGCATTTTGTAGGGGAAAGGTACAAACGGAAAAAGTTCCAGCTTAGGTGTTGGAATCAAGTGACGTATAGCCCTTTATGTGATGACACGGGCTTTCTTTCACAAGCTTCAGCAAAGCCACGTTTTCCTTAGTCAATTTAGAAGATTATTTTTGTGGACCCTATATAGGTTTTCAAGCATTACAGCACATAGCAGTATTCTCCCTTTCCCCCAACCAAGGCATTTTATGCACGTTTTCGATAGAAACTGTTGAATTCATTTTCATCTTGCAACAAAAATGTTCAAATATAAAGCCGGACCAACGACCAGCGAATACACAATTCCTAAGTAACCACGCATCAGCTGCAGTCGGAATAGTTGAATAATTTCAACAAACTTAAGTTACATGAATGTGTTTTTGTACAATGGCAGTGACGCAAAAATTAACTAAAGGGGACTTAACAGCTATCCTCAGTGGACGGCCTGAAAAATGAAACTACTGTCACTTTAGTAACCGTAACTGTTAAGGTCTACGTATGGGAAAACGGAGTTTGAAAATATACTTTAAGGACATGTTTGAGGCAAAACTCTCCTCTGTAAATTGGACTTACGTGGATTGACTATTATAAACGGAGGAGATAGACAGCCAATAGATTTTTACTTAGCTTAAACAAGGTGAGCCAGCACCAGTTTGTTGCATTGTTCGTTGCCATGGTTACCGGAATGTCAAAAAGACAAATTGCCCCCTCCCAATTTCTCCACTGGTCGAACCAAGGGCGTGTCAAGTTGTCAGTTACATCATCAACCGCAAGCTCCCGGCATCGCCATGGCGACCAGTTTGGGGCGCCCTCAATAGCCCAGCTGTTCACACCTTTGGTCACGATCACATCGAGGTCCGTGCATTGTTTCGTCCTTTTTTTGTGGGTTGGTTCGATGACTCTACCAAGGTCGTCCTACGCGATTGAGCAGGTCTGGTTCGGACAGACTGTGCTTCATGTTAACCAAGGCCGCCTAAGAGCGTGGGAAAAGACGACACGAAATAAATCAACACAACATCAAAATAAAAACCCCACACAATAGGCAGAAACAACCAAAAAAAAAGTCTGATCGATAGACAACAATTAAAAAGAGATTTTCACCTTAATGACTGGTTCTTTGTTGCATTTGATAAATACATTGTTCAAAATGAGGTCGTGACCTTTTTCTGCCCAATTCCTACAATCTGCTCAATAGCTTCCACGACAAAACTTTTGCAATCATAAATTTCTTTTCTCCTTTTTGTATCCTTACTTTTAGTATGAGCAAACCAGTTAAACTGAAAAACTTAATGGGGCACATAAGCCGCACGTCATTTCTGAAGGCACCCTTTAAAGATTTCAGCTTTCGGAAAACTCTTAAATGCCCTGAAAATTAAATCTCCAAGAATGCACCTCCTACTTAATAAAAATGCGAGCCAAAATGGACACTACAGTCCCATGTTGTGTGTGTGAATTTCAGGGAATGGTATGGATTGGCTATGGCAAAGACCTGATCACGGTGTTCTTACTGGTCGAAGGTTAGGCCCCTATGCGTTTGTGCCCACTTGTGGAGGCGAGTGGGATTAAAAGTGTGTAATACATGTACATACATTTACTCATAAATGACAGAATTTGCCATTCATGATGTATGCATATAATTCTTACTGAATCATAATGAAGCATTTGAATTATTTATTTAACAAACAGATGGTCAATTATGAAGTCTTCGACAAATATAGTTCTAGATAATTTCTTGAATTTCTTTCCATTTCTTGAATTATAAGCCTATATAAGTTTGCTAACTTCTAACTGCGGGTCAATTGAGATTTTGCTTCATCTTTTACTATTTAGTACTTACATTCTGGTTGAGTTCTTCCACAATTTCTTGGAAGGTTGGACGTAGTGTAGGTTCATGGGACCAGCAGTCCTCAACTAAACTCTGGAGCAAAAGTTAAACAAAAATTGTAACAATTTCAGAACTGTTTTGTCACTTGTGGGATTGGATTTCCTGTAAACATATGTACATAACAATACAAAGAATCAAAGAAGGCATTAAGAACTCTCCAACATCAGTAATCAGTGTCACACATCCGTTGTAATTATTGTTGGCTCTTACTTTTACAGAGGGGACACACTTGACTCCAGCAAGTGATGCTCTTTTCCCATTGCAAACACGATATATGACACTGTCTGTACACGCAAATGTGCTTGCAAATGGCCACTGGGAGGTCAACAGCTCATACAGCACGGTACTGTACAAAACGAAGGAAAAAAAAGAAACTCAGTTGTAGACAAATTACTAAAAACAATTATTCGAGGATGATTATTTGCTCGCCCAAACATTCTCACTTGCCAACAACTCAAACACCAACCAGTTCTTTACCTTTCTCCAAGAACAGCATTTGTTTATCAAGTCACCAAAGTCCGATTTGATTTTCGACTCCTTATTTTAACGTTTTCAAGTGTAATTTATGATTATACTTACCCAAAGGCATACACATCGGACTCGATGGTGTGTGGTTCTGCCTCAATGACATATGGTGGTTGAACCCGCATGGTCCGTAGGATTTCAGGCGCAATATAGGTCAGGTGACCCTGGGGAACAGTTGCATAGTCCTCCCTGATTGGATGCAAGTACAAAATCGTTATGAAAAAATATAACGGAGCAGTTACTGTACGTTAGCATTAAAAAAAAAACTGTTTGGTTTTTTGTATTATGCAATTTTGTTTCAACTATTTACAATATTCAAATTTCAATATCTAAGTGACAAGACTGCACAGAGAATCTTCAAAATCAAGTTCAACACATGCAGTTCAGGGGTTATGACGCAGCATGACCTTTGTCTCACCTGTCACACATGCCATCGGTGGTATCGTAGCCAGTCAGACACAGCTTGACCTTTGACTCTAGGAAGATGGCCTTAGTATTGAGGTCACCCACCACGATGCCCCGGGCATGCAAGTACCCCATGCCCTGGGCTATCTGCCGGGCGATGTGAATCCGCGAATGCATCGGTGACTTACTCTGCTTGATGTGAAGGTGTTGGAAGAGGGAGGGGCCTTTCTGTACACTGTGGGTGGGAACAAACCGACCACAAAAATTAATGTGACCATTAACTAATATCCATCTTGTAAACACAAGACTCTAATTATCTGCTTCATGGCTAAAACATTGTTAGGTAATGGAACGTTTTAAAAATAGTTCTTGGTATCAGTTCCCAACAGAGCATTTATGGATTGTGAACAGAGAAGACGTTCAGGAACTAAACATGTAATATTTAGCTTCTAAAGAATGAAAGCATGGTAGTGTCTAATTGCTAAATATGAGTTTTAAAATGTATTTGTAATAGTTAAGAGAATGTTATCTCCTGGGACCTAAAGGGGAGCGGTGAGTTTTTAAGCTTTACTGACCAGGTGACAATGGCTAGGTTTGGCGGGTCGATGCACGCTCCCATGAAGAGCGCGATGTTCTCGTGTCGGATCATGCTCAAGACGGAGACTTCTTCCAGGAAGGCATCTACGTCCTCCACGTGGCGCCTTGTGTGAATCAACACCTCGCCGTGCCAATTGCCTCTGAAAAGGGGGGATAAAAAGGAAAGATGGTATATGTGAGTTGGGTAATTTGTCTTGTTCTCGTGTCTGTAGGGACGCGATATAACGATGAGTGTTTTGCAAGAAAGGAAATTATCATGTGGAAAAAACATAAGGGCAAGGAAGATGCGCGGGTCTGATGCCTTGCCATAAATGGGGGCACGTCCCCCGCCTGCTCAAGCCCTGTGCCCCTCGTGTACCCCTGGTCCGAAATTAGTCAGGGACAGAATCTGATGACAGTCCGCCTTGGTTAGCGTTTATCTCTGACCTTCCCACACTGATTGGCCCTCTCCATAAAATGAGGCCCCTAAGCCCTTGCACAATATCCCCAAATTACCGTGGTGCAACGGTTCTATGGGACCGGTATCTGTATCCCATTCCGAGGCAATGACTCGAGATTTCTGACTTTTCCAGGGAAACTTTTTTTCCGAATAGAGATTTCTGGAAAAAATTGCTTAGTTACTCTCCATGGTTTTACAATCCCAAATTCCTCGTCTTGGACCGCAGCGGAATCACCAGCCCCAAGATATAAAATTTCGGAGGTGTTTTTTTTACTCGTGTTGAGCTCGTGGTTAGTGCTGCATCTTGTTTATTTGAAGAATTTTATTAGTAAAATACCTGTAAGTTGATCCATTGCGGCCAGCTCGTAGACACATGCCGTACTTCAAATCACTGTTGGGAATCCACCATTCTTTGACGGCTTCTCGGATGTCATGGTCAACAACACTACACGAACCAAGCAAACAAGTCAACAGAAACATTTAGAACCGACTCCTAAATCATCTTCGTCTTGTAACAATATCAGAATGAAATACTCCAAAATTGAGATTTGAACTTATTTTTCTTACGCAATGACAACTGTTGTTTTCATTATTTTTCGGTGCAAAGGTCACCCTTTATCTTAACTACGCTTGTCTTCATCCTCCGTGCACTCTCTCGTATATTTTCCCGAAAAGTGATTAAAAATAAAACACTATCTGTCAGAAAGAAGAATTTATTAACTGTAGTGCGTTGGTCACATAACAAGCACGTGACGACCAAAATAATGGGACATTAATAGTTCTAATATTCGTCAAGTCCAAACATCAATAGTGGGAAATGATCTGTAAGGAAGGCCTATTAATGAAGAAATTCAACTATTCTGATACGAAAACCCAGAGAGTCCTTGTAAAGAGTACAGATTTCTTTTATTCAATGTTTCATCATCATAACCGACATGTCCAAAATGCTGCAGATGTCATCTCTAGGGACATCTTCAGTTCTTCATGACTGTCAAAAGGTGCTGGCCTTTCTCTCTCTCTCATCAGATAAGGGACTTTACCAATGCCAAATCAAGAGTTAACGAGCAAAACCTGCAATTATTTTTGTGCTTGGAAAACTTACCGTGACCTTATTTGATAATTGGTTCTGGAAATAAAGTTGGAAACAGCTTTTTGACTGCAGCCGACAATAATTGATAGTCCGAGATAACAGAGAATAAAATTGCTCAAGTAAACAAACAAGAAAACGCAAACGTCCTGATTTATAAAGTGCGCTGGTTTCCTTTCCCCTGTGAATCTAATGTCTCCTTTTCTCGAAGATTTTCTGAGGTGAGATAAGTCACTCACAGGTCGTCCATTCAAATAAATTTGAATATTTCAAAACTCGCCCTAAAACATTGAAATAAACGATTGATGTGTTAACCTACCCAACATGTTTAGACGCTGCGAGGGAGTCGCACATTCGATGTGCATCATCTAGTGACTCAGGTGAGGCACCTGGCGTGAGAAAAGAACAAATTGAAATGACACTAAGACGTTATTTAAGTTTTAACCTTCACTGCAGCCAACGGCAAAACAGCGGCGTTTATCATGAACAAATACACATCAAATGCTTAATAATTTAGTAATTCATTTTACTAGGTCAACCCTCCGACTGCTGCAGTGCAGTCTGAATAACACTTTTTGTTATCAAGAGTGGCATTTCAAAATCCATGTCTTTGAATTTTTTTAATGTCAACCCCCCCAACACACACACAATTGTTTGTTTGATGTCTGCACACCAATTGTGAGAACGTTCCATGAGTTGCCATACGCCATATATTGATCCAACCCAGCTTCTAGGCCGACACCTGACGTCACGACCAACTAAAAATAACCCAAGCCCGTCAGTCTCACAATATGCAGGCGTCGGTGCATGGAAAACGATGCAGTAATGTCGTCATTCTATATCAAATAGATCAGACTAGTAATAGATCTTCAAAAATTCTGATAAAACTGATTGAATCGGAAACAACGAAATGGCAGAAGTGAATAGAAAACGCCTTGAAATTTATCGATGTTGGTACATAGTTACGTAGTACCGTTACCAGGCCTATATAAAGGGGGATATCATCACAAATTCTAGACGACTTTTAAATTTTAACAAAGTCAATGTAAGCTACTCGCTTCAATCGTAGATCGCAGTGGTTATAGAATAACATGTCAGGTTAACAGAGACGAATCTAGCTCTCAGGAAAGGGGGGGGGGGTGATGGTCGTACTGAAGGGTTGCCCTGCTAATCCAGCGGATATCGATGTCATTGTTTAACTACAGTATAGATAGATAGCGCAATCCTCGTCCGGGATTTTTTTGGTAGGCCTACGCATTTTCCCTCATTTCACTGGTAGGCCTAGTTCCATTTATTCCGCGGCTGAACGGGGAGGGGGTGCAACCCCAACCCCCCTCTCTAGGTCCGCCTCTGGTTAATATAACAGCTGCAAACTAACGGTTCTCAGCAGTTGAGCACACGTCATTTATGACGCAACTTGCTTATATGCCAACTGGTCTGTGCGCAAGTCTACGGAGGCGTACAACGAACTAGTAGCCCGTCAAGAAGTAAATATAGAATTGTTCATGATAGTTCTTGCCTGAATACAAGGCCAGACGCCAATAAAGGTGTGGGTCAAGGGAGGCCCTAGAATCATATCTTCGGGGGCAGGGCCGAACTTTGTTTGGAGTGGGAAACAAAAAATTCCAATATTTGTCATAACCTTTTTTGAGGGTGAGGCTATATTTTGGGCAATTTCATCCCTTTGGGAAGTAAGGGGAATGAAATAGACCCCCCACACACACCCCCACGCACACCCCCACGCACACCAAAAAATCACCTCTCTCTTATTATTTGCAACTCCTTTTCAAGGGGTGCAAGGCTTCCTGTTAGCGCCCTGCAGGGGATCCACTCTTGGTGTGGGCCACTACAAAAGCAAGAGAGAAGGCACGATTCGAAAGTGTAATATGAGTGATTTTGAAACGGGTGGCTCGCCAGTTCGTCAATAGCAACAAACTATTGAAGCAAGAAGCCAAAGCCAACTGCTGCTTCTGAAACGCCCCATGGTTCTACTAAGGCAAATTCATCCGGGTGTGACTGCCTTTTGTTGGAAAGAGATATCAAGGGATCCCAAAACAGCTAGAACTTGGGCTCAAGCTGTGATCAGAGCATCGATCGTTACTATATGTGTCGGTTTACCGACAGGTCAGAATCATATGAGTCACTACTACGGTCATTGCCTCGAGTGCTGGCCGTCCATTCAGCTTGACTCATGGAACACGAACTGACTGCTCCCTTCAAACTCTCCGGCTAATGGAATGGAATTTCAAGTGTTGGGGGCCAGTTCGTGTGTAACGGATGAATAAGGCCACAAAGTCATCTTGAATCACGTCTATATTTAAAACCACAGTAATAACTATAAGGTTGCAGTTACCAGAGTTATTTCTCATTACCAGTAACTAGTGAATGACAGACCGAGGTAATCTTGTTTTAATTCAGTCGGTCGTAAATTGCCATACAGTGTACATGTACATATACAACGTACTCAAAAGAAAACGATTGAAATAATCATTCCATTATGATTGTCATAGGTCTTTACTGAAATAGTTAGAGGTTAATCACGAAAATGCATTTGTAATTGCTCCAAATATAGATATCTTGTCTGAATATACACACTACGTGAATAGCTTATCATGCAAGATCCTATTTTGAGCTCACAAAGAACCATTGCAGCAAACTCCGATTTTCCAGCTGGTGAACTTTATCTGTAAACAAAAATGGCACCTAATTGAGCGAAAGCAAACCAATGGTTTACTACGTTTGTGTTATCCCTGGTGAGTTCAATGTCTATTTGAGATGTTGTTGATTGGAGAAAGGTTGCATATGAACAAACTGTGCAGAGCTGTTAATAATTATCTTGTGTTTGAAGATGCACGAGGGAGACGCTTATATCGCCACTATGATATTCTGCGGTGCTGAATGTCGACATGCGTAGGTTTATTATGGTTTACAGAATGTTCTTTATTTATGCAACAGGGTAACCTTTTAAGAGGCAGAGAAAACACATCTTTATGAAAAATAATCTTCCAGTTTATTGCAAAGTGTAACCACAATGGAATCTTTACTTCTTGGGTACAAGTGAACGTACTTCAGAGGCTCAGTTCGCGCATGGCAAGTGTACGATAGTCGCTGTACTCTGTCAATCAATCAGAGAGAAGCCCGTCAACTACGTTTATCAATGCTATCAATGATGCGGCTTTTTTGGAGGTGCAACACAAAGAGGCGTGGCCTAAACAGCACCATTGAAGAAGACGCGGCGCGTTCTGACTCGGATCAGTGACCACGTACTGTTCTCATCCATTGTCCGAAAGCAACACTGAGAACCGTACTCAATAGGCTATCTCTAATGGTTTGAGAACACGCCCAAAGGCTCTCATACACTAAAGGAACCAAGCAATCTTTCAACCCCCTGACTAAAACACTTTCGAATAAACAAACATACAGAAAAGTTGTTGAAAAGTCCGTTCGGTTGTGTTTATCGATGTTTAATGGGAAAAATATGCAAGACATCCACGAAACTGTTTACTTTATAACTTACAGTGAGAGTTTTTGTTCTGTATTGCAAAAAAGTAAAGGAACAATATTGAAAAAACCACGGTCAGTATTTTCAACAAACTAGTCCTTGTTATTATGATAATCAGTTCTTAAATAAAAGAAGTGGACAAAAGTATTACCTGCTTTGATGTTACTATGACCGTGTGGGGGCCAGGTGGCGATTAAGGATTTTCCCATGTCTGTATCTCTCTTCCTCGTTACAGTGGCATCCACAGTCTTCGATCGCTCCCCGCGGCTCCATTTACGATGCCTCTCGGTCCTACTCAGCTCGACGGTAGTCTGCCCATACCCTGAGCTACACAGACACGCACTGTCCTCCTCCTGCGCCTGGAAAACTTCCGAGCTGCACTCCGAGTTGGAGGAATAGTAACCGCAGGACATGGAGGAAACATTCGACCATGTCCCTTCTTGCACCCACTGGGTCTTGATGAGGGGTCGTTTGGGGGTTGAGATCACGGGGTCGCCATGGTAATCAGTCTTACTTGGGTCAGAGAGATCTTCTAGCTGCTGGCGGGCCGTCCCACAGTCTTGCTTCATGTCAGGTTTTCCAGGAAAATCTTGGTACGGTGGTAGCAATGAGTATCGAGTTCTGACCCCGATGGTGTATTTGGGGCTGTCGGGGGGCGAGGCCTGTAGTCTCTTGCACGCGTCGCAATCACTGGCGCGGCGGATGTCGGTAGCGTCCAATCCACAGCTGGTGGGGCACTGGCACTGCTTGAGAAGAGACAAGCCTTCTCGGTGACGACTCGGTGTGAATGATGGTGTGTATATCAACCGCTCGTATGGTGGCTCCGCCTGGCGGGCAAGTTGTACCGCACGGTTCTTGGGACGGGACTGCTGACGAGGTTTCGAAGAAGCTACGAGATAATAAATCAATTAGGTTACCATGGTAACGCAAATACAATGAATAGAGGAAAAAGCACGGTCTTTTTAGAAATTCCTTTTAAACTGAATGGTAAATATATTTTTGGTATTTCGTCCCTCAAAATTAAGAGACAATGATGGATTACCGGCAGAGTAACACAACAGACTAAGTATTTGACGCCCCTGGACAAGGATACAAGGGCAAAGCATGTTGTTGCTATAGAAAAGAGCGGAATATTGAAATGAAGATTGTAGTCTATTATCATGAGGAACAAAGTGACAAAAATCCTGATGAAAATGTCAACACTGTATCCAAGGTAACAGGTTAAATGGACAAGAGAAATCTTTATTTTGAGTCCCAAAAATATTTGTTATTTACAAAAAGCAGACATCACACAATTTCCCTGGTTCGCCTTTTTAAGTATGCCTCACCTACATTCCTCAACAACCCCCTGAAATTTCAACAAGATTCACTGTATGCATGAATGGTAATCTTTTTTGTGTCTGTTTGAGACAGTTTGTATGAGACTGTACCCCGGATTTAACCACGAATTGAGCTGCCTACGTGTACTGAAAAAAAACATGTCAAGAAGGAAACTTAAACCAGGAAACGTTGAGCTGCATGGTTCCATTGGCTCTCTCTCTCTCTCTCTCTCTCTCTCTCTCTAATGTTCACTGGAAATTTAGCACTCGCTTACCTCGAAATTTATGACCCGGTAAGTTGAGCACACAACGAGGTGAGGCATTCTGGGCGCACTTTCGGTGACATTTGAACCTGGAAGGAAGGAGGACGATTTCAAAGAATTCATACCATATTTGTGAAGAGAGAAACGCGATACTGATGGGGGACGTGCGCCGGACGCGACAATGACGCCGCACAGCCGTGTTTTTCCAAGTCTCGCGAGAGCCGCTGCGCAGAATGCAAATGAAGGATTGCTATTATTATGTGGAAAGGGGGTTTCTGGGTTGCCGATGTAGAGACATGGCAATTGAACATGCATTGATCGGCAAAGAATGGCGATTACTCAGTAAGCCTTCCAATTTGATCATGTTAAAGTAAATTACTTGAAGATTTCACACTCCTTGACCTGTCTGGAACTCTCTTAAAGTTCCAGACAGCACTGTCGAAACCCAACAGCGTACATTGCACATGCGTAGTTCTGTGTGCATCAAACCTCTGAGAAAAAACTCATGAATGAAACACAGCGATAATTGGGCTCTATCTTCTTACTTCCCACAAAACCAACCTATTACCAGGATTTCCAAAGACCTCGAAGAAAATTTCCTAACGTGGACTGTACAAAGGGTGTAACAGAAGATGTCTATCCCAGCGTGTTCAGACAAACAGTCACTGAGGGAAACGTCTGAAGAAAGGGGAATGCAATGCAATCTTTTCCTGGTCCTTACCTACAATCTTTACATCGCAGGGCAAAGAGAAACATAGACTTGTTGCAGTAGTCACATCTCTTGTTCGTTACTATCTTTCGGGAGTAACTGCAACAGAGTACAATAAACATGGTCAAGTATGCAGGGGCGATGTCTATATTGGACGTGGCGAAAGACACACTCCACTTATTAGCTGAAACGCTATACTTGGGGAAATATTAGACAGTTGAAGAAATTATAATCAGTTATCGAGAGGGTTGACCATCCACCTGAATATGGAAAAGGGCCACCCTCAATTTCCTAGATAACTTATAAGGATAATCTGGAGTTGAAAATTAACAACGGATAATTAATTATCAAATTCATCATAAGATCAAATTATCACAAGTGACATAAATCATAGCAAGAACAACTCTCCCTATCCTGTCAAAGGTGCCACGCATATAGGCTAATTATAGTAAACAGTAAACAAGCTCGAAAACGTCCCAATGGAAACCAACTTCATGCATAGCACATATGGTATTATATAGCCATATGCCCGCAACTGACCACCATACATACAGCTCACGTAAGTCAATGGGCGTAGTATTTCATATGGTCACTCGAAGTGCTGTGGTCAAGCAGACAATGCTATGGGTTGCCGATTTCGCCGGCCGGCACATGGCTAGCTCACACCGAACTAGACATATTTTCTCCTACAATAGGTTGCAGTTATGGTCGCATATTTACCAATGTTTAGCTCGCACGATGATATTCTTAGTATTCCTTGTAAGTATATCCATGATGGTCGTTATATCGGTGATTTGAAGAGTTAATCTGTCTTCGGGTAACATCCTTGAGAGGGTGAAGAATGCGATGTTGACGGACCGTCGGGACTCAGTCAACTACACACACTACGTCCAACCGTGAACCACTCCAGACAATAACAACTCCACACCGAGCACGCGCACCATGTCCCAGCACGCGAGTGGGTGGAGCCACCTACTCACTCAACCGGCCAATCATCCTGCTGCGTCACGCAGCTGTCTGCTGATCCACCAATCCCACGTTGGCTTGTTGCTAATCACGTGGGTTCGTGTGCCGGCGTTTCGTTTCTTATTGATAAACGAAGCAGCCAGTGCAGCAGGGGGTGCACCACAACTACGCGTACCCCCCTCTTTTTTGGACCCTGGCCATATTTTGACGAGAACAAAGCAGAACATGGGACGGGAGCAAGTACTTTTTCTCTGCAATTTACGAAGAGCATAGCCAAGCTATGGGGACCAAAATATCCTCTAAATAGGCCTACACTGTTTTTCGTTATGGGGTGTATAAATGAAAAGACAGCCAGGTTACTCCGTGCACGTGCGGTACATTTCCTGTTGTCAATTCATAGTTTCATTTCGGGGTGAAACACCGAGTGAGTCCCAGTCAAACCTGTACGTATAGCAACAGCAAAACAAGTGTTGAATTCCATGCGTGGGCGTCTGGGAATTTCTCGGAATGTTCACCCACCTTGGCTTTTCAAGTTTCACGACCTAACTTCTCAGAATTAATATTGAACAGAGCGATATACATGTACATGCTACCCTGCGATTATACTTGTTCCCAAATGTACTCGCCCGTGTCCCGTAAAAATACGACGTCGTGGGTGAGATCGATCCATAAAAATTTGAGGGTCAGAAAAGGGGAATGAAACTAGACAGACATCAAGTCAGTACGGTCGGTCAAAGTCTAGGCAGATGTTGCAGTCATTGCGTGGGCAGCTAATGAACGACTGTTCAGCCGCAAACTGACTTCGAATTTCACAAATAGGTCTGACAAGTGGAATAAAATCGTACGTGCCGTTTGGGCGATGCTAGTCTGCGCGGGGGGGGGGCACCGCGGCCGGGCTGTGTTTGCTATTTTGCATTTGTGTAAAAGCGTTGGGGCTGACATTTGATATCAAAACCGAGAAGATGGGAGCCGGACGTGTAAACAACCGAAGGCAAAGAAAATGGTTATGCGTCGGCTCCTTCGATGAATGAAATGCCAGCATGCAATCCCCTCTGGAACAAGTATTCTTGACTTTTGTTCCGAGAAACCATCTTTGGAAATGAGCCAAATATTAACTCTTTCTTAATGAACAATTTTAGACTTACATGCATTTTGAGACCCCCAATAAAACTCCACAGAATCTTTCAAATCTTTAGCTTATCACTGTTGTCTTGAGCGATGGACGGTTAAAGTATTAGGACCAAAATAGACTTGTAGGAATACAGATATTATTCTTGGGTAGCATGTAAAAGAAGTTCATTCTTCGTAACAAACATCTTTGGGTTCACAACTTGAATGCAGACATATTTACTCCGCAATATCAAACCATGCAGGATGTCGACATTCGCATATCTAGAATGGTGAACGAGCAGCAGCAGCTGGTCAAATAGCGACCAAATTCATGTCAACACTTCCCGAAATGTCATCGCGCAATGTTCCTCAATAACGAATGGTGCGGGGACAGAACATTACATTACGCGTTCTCTTGCACACCCAGAGTCGGGTTAGGCCTACGCAGAGTGAACATCAGTTGTATGTGAAGCTTTGTTAAGCTCCCACCCCTGGAAAAGGCACACTTTAAATCCGGGTTCATGTAAGTGCTTGAGCCCACTTTTTGCTACCCCACACAGAGTTGTTTGATTATCCCGTTTATGAATGGCAAACCTATGACGTTGTCCATTCCCAAAGCCTCGTCAATATCTCTACAATAGACGGCTCCGAAAGTATGCCATAATGGACTTCAACAATGATTTGGCACGCGACAAGGCGCGTGCCACCTGTCCGATAAAGCAGCCCGGTGATTGGCTGGAATATGTTCTCGCTACAAATAGCGACCTTTGATTGGCTCAAGTCGCGATAGTGTATCTAGGTACCAGGTGAAAAAGGGACAACAATGAAATCTTTCGTCTGCTCTGTGCCTGGAGAATAGATACAGTAGCAAGAGGAGAATCTTTCAGACACAAAAAGAGGAATTTCTAAAGACCTGTTGTCATAGAGATATTGATTGGCTTAGTCGGTTGCCCCTTCGTTCTCTTCTGTTGAACGTCTGTAGCTTTCCCTATCATCAGATATTATACTTGGCTGAAACTAAGATAGATACTGACATATTGCCAAGCGATCATTTTACACTGGGAATTGAAATGTGGTTTCTTATTTCCAGGAAACGGCCCGGGTGTGCAGAATGTACAGTGGACCCATATGGTCGGCCATATTGAAATTGAAAGTGAGGTTAACTCTTCATGTTAAATTTGAAAGAACCAGTGGAAGAATAAAATGAAACTTCCCGCCAATAAAAATAATCCCACATTTGTGATACAGCACACTGTAATGTTTTGCTTCAGATTTAGAAAAAAAATAAAGGGAGGCTTGGAACCAAAATGAATTCTAAAATATAGTCTGGCACCATTTCATCCAACAGAGTTAACAATTTATAAAAGAGATTTCGATGAAAGAGAAGAAAGTGGCTTCCTTGGGAATGAGTTTCATTTCGGTTTCATGTGAAAAAGCGGTGCAGCTACAAAGGTACAAACTTGCACTCTGTCCCTTGATGTGAAGTGAGCATTTACCTCTCGTTCCGTGATTAGCTGCTTATCCGTTTTCACTTTTTGTCTCAACTTTATTATCAGTCCGCACATTGTTGCAGCACCTCAGTTTTCTCGGTTATTTCCCTGTCGGTCTCTTCCACCCTATGACCGACAAGGGAATGCAAAAAGAGTGTTTATGGGAAATGTTAATAGTGGTAAGTGTCGAAACTTGTGTTACCCTGTACATGTATAGGCTTAGGTACCGACGAGGCAAAACCTGACTCGCTGAGTATCACCCCACGCATGGCAATGTAGGCGGTTCACTATTCTCGTGAATGAGACGGTATTTCCCTTTTGCTTTTCTTCTCGATGAATGTGAAAAACTAGTCAACGATGACATGTTGATGTTGACATAATCACCATGTCTGTTTAAATTACTCTCGCCTTTATGTAATTATTCTCTTGCCTCGCGTCTCTAAGCACACGTTGTTATTACTGCTGTAGTTGTGTTTTTAATATCAACATATATAACACATATTTCATTTCAGAAACCACTCTTCCTGAAATTGTGTTCTTTGTGAAAATTGTCAGAATTCGTGGTACATTCAAAATAATGCTGATCCGGTGCGTGTATATATCGTCCGGTGCCCAGCATCAGTACGTTGACAGTCGATGGGGAGCCAGGTAACTATACCTATCAATACAGCTGACAGCCGAGACCGTGTCAAGACGCCTCCCTCGAGTTCACCAAAGTTCATACGCATAACTCACACGCTAAAAATGGGAAGAAGCTAGAGGAAACGAGCAATCGTTTGCATTGTGCTTGCTTCATTAAACCGACTTAACCCCAATTTACTCATGATTTTGTAAGATTGGCCTCTTGGTTGATGATGATAGACGATAATGATGTAGGCGTTGTTTGCTGATAACAAAGAGCACAGGAGAGATGCATTTATGCAACTTACTGAAACCTTTTTTTTTTCAAATGAATCTGTCATGAAAACAAAGTCAAGCCCTTTCAAGTAGTCGAATTCATTAAACTGATAATCATTAACATATAAAATCTGCATACGTGCATTTTTATGATGGTCATGCGCGGTGGACACGTAAAGGCCTCCCTGTGGGCCCTAAGTGATGGTGCATGTTGTCGGATGTATATACATTGCATAACAAAACAATACACACAAGCGCTTCGATAAATGGCTGTTAATTTCCTTAGAAATGACTGTGTCCAACTGCAAAACTCAGCTGACTGCATCTGGATCAAACTATGACGGGTGTGATGCAAAATCATTCATCATTTTCTAGTTGAAATGCACATCAAGGAACAAAACCATGAAAACAGAGGAAAATTTCAGGAACGAAACTATAACGAGAGGGGGAATCGTCATTATAGAACCTCCAACAGAAGCTTCCAGTTAAGTTCTATTTCTGTTCATCCCCCATATCTTGCAAAGTTCCTTGACATTTTTAAAATTAATTTCACGCCTCACGTCGGCTGCGTGTCGTAGGTAGCATCGGTTCTCGAGTTCCCTTAAGGCTTAAGGGCAAGGACTCAGCATTTCGTCTAAACTATTCCCACGACTTCTCTTTCGATCGTGTCGTGTGACCTTCCCTCGTCTGTGGCATTTAACAACGCTGGCCTTGTCCGGACAGAGGCGTGGGTCATCTCTCTTGGCCTACAGGCCTCACGTAGCAACGGGATGTCCGACACAATGGACAGTACACGCCGTCCATCTCACTCCTATTCCTTTGTTCTCCGTGCCATGTTTTCTTTGTCACCAACCAGCTGTTCTTCAGAAGGACGGCGCAGTGAGGGTCGGCTGTTGCTTGGCAACAAGGTTCACTGCCTTCAACAAATCTTGCGGTTTTTTTTTCTCTCTCTCTTTCTAATGACATGACTGGATGTCCCGGTTTGGTTTAACCCTCGAGATGTGTGCACAAGAAATGAGGGTAGAATTAATTCACGAAAAAGCGTGGAAATTATGCACCGAAAGAGCTCGCTTGCCTGTACATTTTCCATGTTACAGCCAGTGGCGAAATGCATCGCATCAGACAAAACTAAGATCTGTCTTGGTACAGAGCGTGCATAGGCTGGATCAGTTAGGGAAAAAACTGCATTTTGGCGTTTCATAGGCCCCTGTACAAAACAAACTGGGACCGTCCTCTCCAAGATGCATTTTAAATGTGCAAAATAATGTACAATGCATTTTTTAAATCAGGCATTTTATAATTTTTTTACTCGAATGTCGTTTTAAAGCAGATCTATAAGATCAATGTTGTTTTTTCCAGAATATCCAAAATGCTTTCTACAAACCAGACAGAAAATATTTTCATGTTATACTAATATATGAACTATCAAATATAGAACTAAACTATAATTACATGAGCTATCGATACTTATAATCAGTTTTAAGTATGTTGCACATCTCAATTTTAACGTTAATTTGCAAACAATTTTCTTCAATTAATTGAAATCATAGCCTTTGGCAATTTTCAGTGGTTCCCAATAATTATAATGGTTGATATAACATAACCGACGTGAACGGGAAGGCCGCGACACACACGTCGAACATTTACGCTGCATACATTGTGCGCGTGTGTTGGAACAGCATTATGCACGCCGTTATCCAGGGTCGCTCATTAACAATGCAAATTACCTCACCACCAAAAAAAAAAAAAACCGGGTGGACCGATCACCAAGGATTTTTTTCTTGTTTTAAACAGGGGATCGAAAAAAAAACCTCTGGTTATTCTTTCAATAAAAGAATTGTTATGTACAATAAATCGCTTTATTGAGCATCTCTTCGACAAACTGTTGTTTGTTTTTCAGTTTGCTTTTAATAAGCCATTCGATGTTTGGTACAAACTTCAATCTCGCTCACATCATATTTATCCAAAAGCATATGTTCCAGCTATGTCAAAATACTGTGGTTGCTTGTATAAATATTCAACTAAGACAGACACACCAAAAGCGAAGCTGCTTGTCTGCTGACGTTTATTTTCATGTACACCCAGCTATCAGTTTAGTGAGAATTGGCCTTAATCGATGGTTGTTACCTTGTCGTTTTAAATGAAATAGTGAGAGGGTTTTGACATTTTGTTCAAAGTACTTGCACATTGGGATTTACAGAAATACAGATATTTTCCCTTCTAGAGCCATCCTCGAAAATACACGATCTGGTCTCATTATGCGGGGGTAGAATCCATTATTCAATTTCTTTGCCCATCATACAGAAATGATTGCCGATCTCAGGAAATCCAATTACGACTGGGATACACATGGCCAAAAAGACTGGCAGGCTGGATGTCGGTCAAGTACCCAGAATTATCATGTAATTAGTCTATTGGATTACTTATAATTCACGCGGTCACATACTGTCGAGGGCACGTCCCTTAGTTGCACAGATGCCTTTTACGATTTCGACTGACCAAGAACTCACAAGAAAAAAAGGAGGTTTTAAACTAGATGGCTATTTTGCAAAGCATGCTTGTATAATACTGTTTTAAGCCAGGTGTCCTTAAAGTAAGAAAACCAAGACTCCGCTGAATGTTACTCACGTAAATTCAGACTGGACGTTTTAGAAAATAAAAATGTAGGCGATAGGAGCCTTAAAAAACGTAACAGGGCAGCTCGCAAAGTGTTGAAAGGAAATAAAAGTTGAAAATGCCCGGGAAAAAAAGGATAGCATCAGGATAAATCACCACTAAAATGTATCACGAACAACAATTTTGTGCAAGAGAATGTGTGAATAATTATGGCAATGCCGTACTACAAAATTATCGCCTATTTCCTGTTTTTTAACTAATGCAAAATGATTATAATTTTCGAAGAACAGGTAGCTATATACGAAGGCTACGGATGACGACGACAATGTAGGTGGGAGCAGGACTTTCAAACAACTCCGCCAGTGCAATTTCCTGAAACACTTTTCATGAGATTGACACTAATCCTCGGCAAGGATCGCAGCATAATACCAATTTCCTCCAAAGTAATTTTTGCTGTCCCCTCAGAGGGGAAAAAAACACAAGGAGAAATTTCAATAAGGGAAAGTGCTCTGGTGACGTCACTACCACGTCTTCCGCCATCTTAATGTGATTCGTCTGGCTGCGGCGGCGAGAGAAACACGAGCCAGGAAAGTAACCTAGTGCGAGATGTGCGGTTGGAACAAGAACAGAACTCATTGGTCTGTTCTCCGCAATGTACGACGCTAAAACTTGTTGCCTCAATTAATTACACGGAAGTAAGTGGTAGTTAAGCGAGACTTCAAGATGAATTAACCATTCAACAATCAAGATATACGGTCCCCGCTAAACAGGTTGATAAATAACTCCGCAACACGGGAAGAAATGTTTCAATGAGGTGCCTAAATACAGTCACGTGACTGTAAAAAAGTCTCCATTAAGTGTCCGTCATTAAGAGCATCGGTACTATGTCGATTGTGCTGCTTTCAGCACAAAATTCACTTTACAGGAAAAAAAGGCTGTCAAACCTGATGTAGTGTGTCGTTAATATTATACATCAAGTGAATATGTTCTGGATGAGCATTTTATTTTTGCACAATGGTTATGCATAAGGCAATCCAGAGCTGGCTTCGGGTAGATTTCATGGCTCACTGTTCAAAGGGTAATTACACTAACTCGGGCCGATACATGATACCTAACAGAAAATCGCACATACTGGTCGGGATCTCAATTTCCCAACACGTATGGAAAACAACTACACAAAAAACAGGCCAGTATACAACGATAGCTTATATGATGTGATCAGAATAATTTCTCTACCATCGATAATGTGTGATGTTGGTCAAAGTGCAGTTTTTGATAGGGGCCCAAGTTGGCTGTTTAATTTGAGAAAACCAGACTTGGCAGAGACAATTTTGACATCAACCGTGACAAAAACCTTCAAGTATAATCTGCTACCAGATGTTTGGTTTTACATTACAAATAAAATTTTTTTTAATGCATTTATTGTTTTGTTTACCGTGTGTCTAGCCGCTCAATATTGTCTCGACGGCATATCTATTTAATGTTAGTCTTATAAACTACTTATTTTGTAAGTTCTATGACCACGTTTTAGTTCAAATTGTTCTTCAGGATTGCGATCTCAGACAAGAAACGGTATACCAAGTTGTCAGTTGCCATCCGTTTTCCCCCAAATTAAATTTGTCTCGCCAAACTTAATTTCGAGTGAAAGCATGCAGTAGAGTATCTGGATACACATTAGTATGGTTTCAACAGCAGGCAGTCAGTCCAGTAGAAAAGATTTATGATTTTTTGGAAAATTAAACGCATTCTTGTACAGAAACGTTTTTTGACTTAATTTTAACCGGTACCAACATTAAACTTTAAAATTAACATAAAAATCATCTTTTTCCAAATTTTAGGTCGAGATCTCGATTGAAATTTTCAACTCAGAATGATAATTTCAATGCAACAAACGCGTATGATATCACCAATCCTGTTCTTGAGTCCAACATTCTGCCAACCTGCAATAAAGCACGCGACATTACACAATGACTGCATGTGTTCATAATTTTGAATGCAAAACCATTTGGGGAAATGTATTCACAAACCACTCAAATCAAACAGAAGCGTGGGGTTGAATGCGCGGTACCGGTACATCACGTTAACATTTCCTTCAATCTAGTCCCCCCCCCATTAATTTCGAAGTTGGGAAATTTCTGGTGTGATTTTTTTTTAACGGAAATATCGATTTCTTGTTTATAATAATCATTGATTTTTGTTGTGCTGCTGACCGATAAGGCGTAATAGCTGTAACCAACACGTGAAAGTACGATGCTTCTTGTTGGTTACTTTTATTCAGTTGAGGAGCAAACTATCAAAAGTTTTACGATTCAAAAATACATCAAACTACACACTGGAATTAATAAACTACCTCCACACGGACAGAGTTCAAAGATCTGTTCACATTCTCTTGTTAATTTCAATTAGCCGATTCATGCAACTCTTCTCGAGATTTATTTATAAACTGATTATAATATAAAATAATTAAATATTAGTGCAAATTCTTTCCACCTGCGCTGTACTTCTATGATATTTAAAGACATTTATTAAAATAAAGATGTATTGGTAAACTGCTATTTTAGGCAATCTAATTTCCCTTTAAATGAAATATCCACTCCAAAGTCGATTAATACCGTGTCGTTTACGATTTCATTGGCGCTCAAATTTTCACCGATTTCAATGAAAAGCGCACTATGAACGAGTGATTTCACGGGAAGACACAACTTGTCTTTACTGCCCTGATATCCCTAAACGGCGCCATTTACTGCCACTCTTGGCCGAAACCTCCATTCACAAAACTGAAATTAATAAATTACCTGTGCCGTATCCTGAGCAGAGTCGTGTAATCCAGTCCATTCGAGGTAGTCTCGCTTTCCCATGCAGCCCCTACCCCCGTGACATCCATCCTGACTGTGTGACAGATACCCTGACAGTTAGAGTGAGGCACACCGGGGCAATGCGCTCCGCGATCCGTCCATAGCTTGCAAGTAAGCTTTTTGAAAGATTTCTCTTGTTTGGACGTAGCGATACAAAATAAACAAAGAGTAAGGACCTCCAGGAGGCTTAAGACAAAAAGCTCAGTGAGACGGTGAATGGGGTTGATGCTGGAGGAAGGCGCAATGAACCACCATCATTAACATCGCCGCACTCACCCACACTGCTATCGACGTGATCGTATACACGCATGGTACCGCTATGCATAAGGTCAAGCCGACCTCAATACACCGCAAGGTAACTGTGGCACCGCTATCTTCTACACGTACGCTTGTTCTATGCTATAAAATTAGCGATCATGCTATTAAATCGATGACGGTGGAATTTGATAACGCTAAACAGGCCCATTTCGAATGACATTCTGAAATGACAATTTTTTTTTCTCGACATTTATCAGCTAATTAGGTACTTTTTCTCTTCCATGTCACAAAGTCTACAATTGATATCAGAAGAAAAGAATGACATATTCAAAAACAAACAAACAAACAAAATGACACATAAAACCATACAACACACACATAGACAAATGCACAAAGAAACGAGATTTGAAGGGAAGCAGAAAACAGTCACGGGGTGGTTGGCTCTTGCTTAAAAATGGTCTAAAATATTCATGAAGTCCGTCGCCAAATCATCTCATGCTTGGCTAGCCATGCATTCCTAGCCCTCCACGGCTACGGCAGATGGGAATGAGAGGGAAGAGCTGCCGGTTACTATGGCAACAGCTTTTCTCCGTGACACTACGTATAGGTTCAATTTAAGGCCAAACGCTCCCATAACATAACATAACATCACAACTGGGAGAATGCAATTCTACTGCAATGGAACATAGTAACTTGATATTACGACTATGTATAGGGGGTTGCATTTAACATCCAACTTCAACACACACCAAAAAATATAAACTCAAAGAATATGTCACTTTCAACAAAGCAGTGTTTACCATTTTCGTTTATTCTTTTTGCATTACCACCAAAAAAAAAAAAACAGTGCCACCACGGATACGGGATACGCATTAACATCTTTACAACCAAATACTCCTGTTGCTGCGGTACTACATCTAGATATAAAATTGAATCATGACAGTCCCTCACAGTTGACGGAAACCGCTCACAGCTCACCGCTTCAAACGGAAAAAGGGAATTTGCATATGCAAAGTTTGAATTAATTCAGGGATTATACCTGTGGGGGAAAAACCTGGGGGAAAAAAAACCTAAATGCAAACGTCTACCAGTACTTTATAAAAGCAAACAGGCTGTGTGGAGTGAGTGGGTGTAGAGGTTAATCATTAAAATTGCTCAGACCTTTGACCTAGACAAACTTGAATAAACTGCAGCCACAACGATCATGTTGGTGGCATACATCACACAGATGAGACTCTCGTGGGCAGTGCTGGCAAAAAATGCTGGGGGAAAATTAACTTCGGACTGTGCGAAAAATTGGAAATAATCGCTCATTTGCAAAACAGTAACTCGAATTTATGTCTGGTTCCTGACTCATTTATGATACTCGGACATTGGACTTGCTATAATATAAAACACGGGGGTGCATTTTTTACACAAAAAGTACTCCAAGCTTTGGCCTCAGATTGGGTAATATGATGTTTCTGTAGCGGAAAATGTGGATGCAATGAAGACAGTGGTCTCAAATGTGGAGTTTTGGTAGGTTTGAAGAATCGAGGTATATGAGCTAGGGCAAAACCTGTAGCCTCTATTTGCCAAGGATGTAGTATGTCTGGAAAGGTCAGGGTCAAATATTAAAAAAGGCCAATGTTATTCACTGCGCAAAGCACAGGTTCATCTTTACACCTGAAGGCATGCTTTCCGCCAGGAATATTTTTGGCCGTTTATTTTGCAGGCCATTTCCGGAAAATACAGTTAAAACACACCTGTCTTTCACGCGTGATATTAATTTACTGGAGGCTGGATGTCAATGAGAACATTAAAAAAAATTGCCTGAACTGCCAAACGGGGTAATCAGACCATCAATTTCCCATTGTATTCTGCTCGACAACTCGCGGCAAATTCACATTACAATGAGCGATACATAGCAACACTTCAAGGAAAAGATTCATTTTGTCACATGGCAGAGCAGTGGCAAAATAACCTGTTCTGGAATTTTCAGAGAACCGGCCCGACGAATTATGAGAGACTATAAATAGCCTGCGCCACATTTGGCCACATATTGTTTCTAGTACGCGTAGTTCCCGTGGCAGCACTAAACACTGGTTTCAACAATCACACTTTTGACGCTCTATCTATGTGCTCTTAATTGACAACGACACAGCAAGCTACAGTACAGTGATTACTTTTACATGTACACCCTTCAACGTGGAGTATTTCTGCCAGCACTAGAGTGGGGCCGTTGCTCTCGCTGACAGATGCTCCAAGCTTGCGCTGGCACTTGTGAAATGTACAATTCTGCATGTCAACATGAACATGCCTATCATCATTTTACAAGGGGCTCTTCTCAAGAGAAATTTCTAGACAGAGTGAAGAGTGAAGGCATCCTCCAAAACGTCTTTTTCAACCCTTCTTATGAATCATACATACTGTGTAAAAACGGAGTCCACATTGTATAAATGTGTACTTACATCACACAAACACCCTGGCTGTACTCATAACACAATAATTATAACATCCCATGGATGTCTTTTAGTTTGTTTGTTAATACGGGCAATTCACAACAGTGCGCCTTCAAGAGTTTGCAACGCATTAGCCAATCACAACGCGTGAAATCTGTCAACCCTTTCCAAATGCACATCGGGTCGACAGATTTCGCACACTGCGATTGGCCAACGCCTTGCAAACTCTTGGAAGTGCACTATTGTGAAATGCCCGTATTAGTTTGTGTGCAGCTTTGTAAGATAACACTATTGGTGACCAGATCCTGCAAAATGAGTCTTAAGGCCGGATGTTTGGTCATTCTTTTTTTAAGTCGTATGAGAAAGAGAACACCACCGATATCAGCATCCTGAGGAAAAAAAAGACAATATCTGCATGAAGATGTTGAGGGTTCCCCTTGATATACACAGCGCAAGATTCTCTTGAAGGCCCTTCACTCAAAAGTTGCTGTGGCGACTAGTGACTCCGTTTGTTACATGGAATCACATTTGGACATTCAAGAAAGAACTACAGGTTAATAACCTAAGCATAGCACTTGACAGATGAGAATTAAGAATTCTTGACAAATTCATTACATAATGTGTAATGTGCACGGAGTAAGCAAGACGACATAACTGCACCATGTATGGAGTTACAGGTTCAAATTATGCTGGTAACACAGTGTGCAGTAGGCTGGTGGGGAGGGGGTCTAGTGCATTATGGGATTACTCCATTCCTTCTACGCCCGCTGCCCCTGTCGTTGGAGCGGCCATGCCTGCTCCCTCACCCCCAGAAGCTTTTTTGGTTCCAGACACAATGTCATCGATGCGAAGCAATAACATAGCAGTCTAGGAGAGAAAAACAAAGGAAGGTATCGGTGATTCAGTGGGACTGGATTTCACAAAAGGAGTCTTAGTAGTTTTAATTTGCATTCAAAGGGTCAAAGTGAGTTTTACGTTTGGATGTATTACTCTGTCTACAATCATGATGAAAATGGACATTATGCAGGGAAATGTGATTTATGCTATGAAAGGTTCTTTAAAAAGGTCAGTCACTCAAGAGTGGTTCAGGCAACTTCAGAATCATTTTGTTCTATCAAAATTGTTATGAAGTGTCAAAACAACAACAAGGAATAAACTATGTAACAGGGGAACCCACCTCTCTCTTCTGAATCTCTGAAATGTCAGTTTCTGAATACGTAAAAACCCAGAATACAAGCTCATGAATATCCTTGTCAAGGTCAGCTTATGACTATTCAAGTTGCAGAGGCCAATCAGTGTTATATGGATATTTTCAAAGGTCACTGGATTTTTAAAGTGCAGGCTCTGCCATTGTTGGCACTGACCCATAACAGGCCAGACGACACTTAGTTCAAAGAAGAACTTTTTCTCTGTTTGAACTCGGGCAAATGATATGAAAGATGACTTGCTAAGGATCAACTGTGCATTGTAAGTTAAGGAAATGAAAAAGTGAGGGACGGTGCAGACAGAAAAATCTCCATAGCAGGGCCTTATCTCCCCAGAAGCACTGCCATCAACACAGAAATGACAATAGCCATCATTCACTGCAACACTGACATCGGCAGCAAACTGATACTGAAGCATTTCGTGCTTCTATTGCCCAATATGGCCAAGTGGTTTTCACGCTTCCAGGTAAGTTCCTCCGGAAAAGATAAATGCCCATCTCCATCAAGACGTCTCCATCGACTGCTCCGCCATCCCTGCCTACTCGCTTCCCTTCCGCTGGTAATGGATTGCTGGACAGCTTTATCACAATGCCATAATTCAGTCCGACCAAGAGATGATGGGCAAAAACAGGTGGTAAAATACAGAAATAGCAAAAATTCCTTGGGGAATGGACATGTGGGGATTGGGGCAATGCAGTTATGGATTAGGGAACCTCTGTCAAATCAATTAGGGACAGTAATTTAATTAAAGAGTTGTCTAAGGTTGCTTGGCCAAGATGATCCTTCTTTTAAATATTCAGGCTTTTTAATGCCTTCCGTTATTTCCATTTTGTATTTAAAAACTGTGCTGTACTTTACAACATTCTATTTGGATGGATTCAGAGCTAAGCATTGCTTGACAAAGAAAATGTTGGAATAGCAACGGGCTAGAATCCCAAATGCAAGACCTTGCACACTACCACTGGTCCCCTGCTCACTGTCAGCTTAGCAATGATACAAAGCAGTGTCTTCTGCTGAGCTTCTTAACAAAACTAGACTTGCCAGTGAGATCACTCATGAAAGGTAACAGCTCATGCAAATGCATGTTGTGCTTGACAAGGAACCACCTTTGATACAAACTAACACTCACATGTACTACAACTGACTAGTACTTTTTTCAAGTGGACTGAAATTCATTCATATATTCATTCTCTGAACCGTAACGACTCAGCGGCCGTATGCATAATCATTCCCAGAGTGGCTAATGACCGTCCAGAGGCTGTTGGCTAATGAGGGTTTTGAAGAAATCTGCTGGTAGCTTTCAAGTCACGCGGCATATTATCAACTTGAAAGGTTAATGCTGGAATCGAAATCCCACCAAACTCTTGTGTAATTCTCTCAAGACCAAAGGTTCAGTTTCATGCATTACGGCGGTGGGTGGGGATGGGGGGAGGTCATTGGAATCATTCACAGAGAGTACCGAAGACAGCACAAGCATTTCAAAGGATGACCTTTTGTTTGGCTGGAAATTTCTGTTGGCAGGATGCAACAAAAGAGATCAAGATTTTCCTGTGGTTGTGAGAAGAAAAATACGCAAGATATCTTCATCAGAAAATTGGAATACACTGGTTTCAATCTCATCCAAGCCATCTGAAGAAGTCGTTTTTAACATCCCTTGGCAGAATGCACTGCAGACATTATAACATTGCTATGTTTAAAATGGGCCACACCCAATATTTTTTTCTTTAATGTGGGTATATTAAGCGCAACAATTCACTTGAAGTCAAGTTACTCTTCACAATGGTTCCTCCCCTTTGGCCACGAGCCAACTATTGACTCAGCATTTATTCTACATGTACCTTTCCATTTAACTGATTATTATCTTCTATTTCTAAAAAGAAGCGGTACATTGATCTCAGATTAAGTTTATGAGCTAAATTATTTTCAGCCGTGAATCACATTTATTGGCCACGAGCCAATATCCCTAATGAAGCATTTATTCCATCTTCTGTGAGATGCTCTCTCCTACCAGCATCAGATACCCTGGCATAGTAAGCTTCCGACAAGAACAAGAGATGGCATACTTTTCACAGAGACATCTCTCACAAAATTATTGTTTCTTGGGAACTTTTCCAAAGTCTCAAAAGAATCCACCACCATGTAGGAAATCGATGGCACATTCTCTGCTCTCCAACTTTCCAGGGATCATTTGACTTCATGTAAAATACAAAGTGGGACCTGACTAAGTCCTCCCAAACCTACTGGAAGACTCTCCGGTGTCTGGCAGGGTACTGGGTTGAAAAAAGCAGCTTTCCCCAACTCAGTATTGCATTAATTCCCCCCCCCCCAGTTCAAGCTACTTTTATCTGGGTCAGAGCATCTGATCTGGGCCAGGGAAACCCACTTGACCTGGATGGAACCACCTTCCTCCTGAAAGCACACACTGCACACACTGATTCCACACTTGGACCCATCATATATCCCCCCCCCCCAAATCAGATTCACTCCGTCAGAAGTGTGCCCCAGGGTAAAAGGCTGCTGGACTGATTGAGGATGGTAAGTTGAGACACCAACGGGATATAGAAGGAAAAAAGAGAAAAAAGAATGAAAGAGCATTGTGCTGCCTTGGGCGAAACCCCGCACAGAGACACTCAATACTGGACCCATGGAGGCAGCTTCTGTGCCCAGAAACCTTTGCCTCAATTTCTGCATCTGTAACTGCCAGTATGTAGCTTTGGCAGCTTCCCCTAATCATGTCATGTCATTTCTTGCAATGACAATCTCCTCCCACTAAACTGTTGTCAACAACTGTTTGTTTCAAAGATTATAATCAACTATGTGTTTTTCATATAATTGCAACTCTCTTCAAAGCTACAAGAGAAAAACTGAAACTAAACCATCATCTGTGACACTCACGTAAAAAAGCTTATTTACAGCCATGTTAAATAATACTGCGAAGGCCTTTTGTTCTTTGACTGTCCTCTCATTTTATGGGGGGGGGATATTGTGGGGAGCCAGACTTTACTGTTTCGCAGTAAAACTTGTGATTTTTTGTTGCAGCAGGATCTCTCCAGAGTAACCCTGAAAATCATGGTAGGCTCCACACTGACCCAAACCCAGAGAATGTCAAACGGGTCTTTTTTTTCCCCAGTCGGGCTTCTGAAAGCATCCCCCGGGGGTAATTCCCAGCGATATTCAGTTGACATTTAACGCCTGGATTTGCGGTGACCCTGATGAGCCCAATATAAAATTGGACGATTTGGGACAAGGCAGTGAGGCTGACAGGAGTATGTGTGGGTGCAATGGGGGTTCTCTAACAAAGTGCCACTGAAAAGGTCAAGCTATTTCATTATGCACAGTCTTTTTCTGCGTAGTATGGAACTTCTGAAACTATTTATAGCAAAAGTTTTTGTCTAACAGAAAACACAATCATTATGCTCAATGTAGACTCAGATTAGGTCAGAATTTCTTACCATCTCATTCTCATGACTTAAGTAATCACTTATTTGAAGAATTTCTAAAAATAGATTAATGTGCACTGAAGCAAGATATATAGTTACATAAGATGCTTGTACAAAATTATTAACAAGATTCATATTGCATCGGAAAATGTATTATATATGAATGTTTTTAGCAAGAATACCACCAATTTTAATATAACATCAAGGAGTTAGTTATTTTCACCCAATCAATCTATCTCTTCAGTCCTACAAGTCATGAGTTGCTGGTACCTCCATTATGAGTGCCAGAAATGAGCAAGATGTCTTCTATAATTCCCTTGCATTTGTTGAGGGGTCAGTGACCTGTGACAACCGTGACTGTTCATTCACCTGAGGCCTAATCCTGGGAATGTCTAGCTTACAACGAGGTGAAGGACTCGATGGTGGGGGGGGGTCATGTCTCAGGCTAATGAGGAGTTGACAAGTGGACAAAAGGCATGCCTTTCTTGATGTATGAGATGAGCAGTACAAGGCAGTTTTATTCCTCCGAGGTAGCGAGTACCAGGGTAGTCTACAACCTTAATTTTATGAGCATTTTTTCGATTTGATTTTGGATAAGTGGGTTTTCATTACTCAAGAAGAAAACTTTACTAATGGATGCATTGATCAATTACTATGAGTGACCCTAGGAGATACGGCAAGGTTACGTGGGTGCAACCCCATCTTTGCAACTTCAACAATCTTGCCGACTCCTAAAAGACATGGATTCAAAGGGGAGCGCTTTGTCACCATTCTACAATCCCTTCCCCTAGGGTCGTGAGCAAATTCTGAAGAAGTTTGATGATTCAGCAATTTGACACTGATCACGCCATGCGGCCAGAGAAAGTAGAAATGGTATCACGTCTGACCATAAGGTGGAAGTGTCGCACAGCCTGACATGAGTCAGCAGAACAAGAGCGGATTACGGACCCATAAGTGTAAACCTGACCTCTAGCATTGTACGATGTCATCATAATATGGGGGCTGGATTTAGATGAATGAATCTGCAGAATGTCGACCTCAGTTTACAACCAAGCAGAAATATAAAAGCCACTGAAATAAATGTTTTGATTTTGTTACACTGCTCATGGAACTCACGGCCCTCATGAGCAACATGAGTTTGGCAGGATCTTCTGGTTGCCAATTCAACACAAATATGTTTAGAAAAGAGGAGTCCGAGAAGATGAAGAACAAGTTCATTGTCAAACCCATCTCTGAGCCTGCCTTTTAGCCAACAAGCATTACCGCCAATGGATGTATCAATTTATACCGGTAAGTCTGTGAGAATTTTTTCAAGGGCATGCTTAATGTAGGTGCTGGTAGGTTTGTGGCCTTCGTGGGATATCTGTGATGGCCCACCATAGAGGGCACTCTTTGTGCCAGATGTTGGCGAGCATAACTGCATAATGAGTACCGTTCTTACAGTTGAGACCAAAGTGACCATTTTTAAGGTGACAAACCAAAAGTGCGCAGCCAAATGAGAAATGGTTCATTTTTCTGGTTGGTGGGGGGGGGGAGTGGTTGGGTGGGCGGGGGTTACAAGGGAATAAATTGAAGGAGCTCACCTCGATAGCAGTCTTGTATGTCTGCGCCTTGACTGCATATGGATCCCAGACTCCCTTTTCCTCCATGTTCACAATAGTTCCCTTCTCACCATCGATTCCCCAGGTAAAGTTGCTGGACTCAACGTGTTTAGCCTGCACCAAAGCAAACATGTACAGTTTCAGTTGACTGTTTGGGACACCTGATGAAGTCCTAGTCCTTTAGGTCTCACATGGTAATAGTACCATTACCAACTTCATCGTATAATTTAGTACATCTTGGGGACTCAACGGCACTGCTGGCATAAAAATCTTCCCTTTTTTGTGGAGCATATATGTAAACAGGATCTGAAGACCCTGTTACCTAAGCAACCAACAAACCATGTTCAGTAAGTTCGTTTTTATGCATATCCTTGGAGGACACCTTATGTGGACTAAGCTAGGTGCACACAAGCTTACCCCCTCTCTTGGCAATAAAAAGCAACTTCAAATGAGTAGTTTTTCCCCAAGCTTTCTTACTTAGACAAAAAAGACCATCCATTACATGTGATGTAAATATGCATTCCCCTTTTTACGCCAGAGTGCATGTACAAGTTATATTTTGCTAAATATGTACAAATCCTGTGGCCTATTACACTGGTGTCGGCCAAGCCTATCTCTCTGCCAACAACGAGGGGGGTACTTCTGCACAGACCCCATTCGATCTGGCTGTGTTCCACAGTCATAGCTAAAAGGCAGCCCCTTCCGCCACTTTTTCTCCTAGCTGCAGGGAACCAATTTGGACATGGCCTAGGCATTGGTGGGAACCAGGCTGGTTGCGGAGCATTTCCTTAATACTCACCCTGAGAGCTGTCAGCGTGCGTATAGTGCTCCCACCACAGTTCTGTATGAGAGTCCGTGGAATGACCTCCAGGGCGGAGGCCACAGCGCGATACGGCCACTGCTGGACGCCCGTTATGCCCTTAGCCTTCTCAGTCAAGGCCTAAGCAAAAAAAAATTTTTTAAATGGCATGGTCATGAAGCAATATTAACAGAGAAAGAATTTCTCAATATTTCACTGATTGATGACCTTGTCCAATGGATAAACCAACGGCATAAATCACTAGGAACTGTCCATTTTCTTCAAACACATGATGTCTGTAGATATAGCAATGTCCTAATATGTGATCCATGCAAATGAGGAATACAGTAAGGAAGCTATTGTAGGAAAGTCATATTCAGGTCCCTTTCATAAGTTCTAAAGGAAAGCCTCTTTATTGTAGTCCCCACCCCACCCCCTAAACTGATTTGCCAGAGAACTAGAGCTTACATGAGAGAGGGCCATTTCAATGGCTCCCCCGCCGGGTACCAGCAGAGGCTCCATCATGATGTTGCGGGCTGAATTCATGGCATCTTGAAGATTCCTCTCCACCTCATTCAAGATGTCCTTGCTGGCACCCCTCAACAAAATGGTGCAGGCTTTGGGGTTCTTACACTTGGTGATGAAGGTAAAATATCTGTGGGTAAATAAAACCCTCACTGTGTCAAGCATACTGGCAAACCCTTCAGCATAATGGAATGAGCGCTTGGGCTCTTCAACTTAATAATATAGGTGATATACCTCTCAGTCCTTACAGTAAATAAAAACAAAGTGTTCTGATAACCCATTTAGCAGAATGGTAGAGGCCTAATAATTGAACGGATTGTATCAACGTAACCTGCCTTGGAGCTTTAGTGCTATGCAGTATAGGTGAAACATCGTTACATATCAAAAAACAATGGAATGATGTAATTCTTGGGGGGGGTTGCGTTTGGTGATACTAAAGAAAAGCGTGAAAATATTAATGTACCAAGATAAAATATCGAAGAAAAAAAAAAGGATTGGAAAAACAGACACATTTATCAAAGAGTCTTTGACATACTCATCTCCGATCTTCTCCACCTCAAAAAGACCAGCTCCATTGCCTATATCTTCCTCCCTGAGTTCGTCAGTACGGTTGACGATGGTTGCCCCGCAAGCTCTGAAACCAATCAGGAGAAACAAAGAAAAACTTATTTGCTTTGTGTATCAGTTTGGGGCATTGGATTTACTTAGGGCACCATCTAGGGTGCGACCAGATTCAAAATGCTGAAATGCAGAGTTGCAGAAAGAGGACGCACTGTGTATGACCTAATACCAAATCAATCCCTACCAAAATGTTGGTACAGCTTGTGAAAAACAAGGACTACTCTTTAGAAAATAGTGCACATGTAAACAGTAGAGGTGAATTGTATGCTTAAAGCTGATGGCTTTGGTTTGCATCCTGAAGCCCGTCATATCCCAATAGTTTGGCTATGGCTGCCAAAAACACACACATCTATAGCTGCTGCAGCTAGCCATAGCCACATATTCAATTTCTGATCATAACCTGAACCAGACACTCCCTAATTCTACTCACAACACTGCATGCTACCCAATCAATGCAACTCTTTAACCAATCAGAATTGGTTATACCGCTGGTTACGAATTGCTGAGCATGGACTGTAGGTTTAGTGAAGACGTCTATTCTGAAATCCAAACTACATGCATTTAGCTGTCAAGTCACAGCATGCAGGCAAAACAAGTCCGGTATCATCCACTGGTCAATCAAAGGCTCTTCATTAAACTGGCTCACTGTCTCATGCAAAACTTGATTGGTCTGATCACAGATATTGACGTTAAGGGAAAAACACTGGACTCCACGACCAACCTTGCCACTCTATTGTTGTCTGACTTTCGTAGTCGTCGTATGGCTGTGATATTGGCCTTCGCCAGGTAGTGTTGGGCAAGGTCTACAAGAAAGAAAACAGATCAGAACTTGGAAGAGGATAATCAGAAAGGTTGGTTAGGTTGGTTAACTCCAAAAACACTCCAAATCCTTCAGCATCTTATGCAGGATACTGTAGGAGTGAAGGCAGAGCCCAGACACCATTCATTTACACAGTTGCCCTTTGATGTTGATGTACAAAATGTGGTAGTGAGTTCCAGCACTTGTCAGAAGAGTTTGGCGGATTCAGCAAAGGTTTTTAGCAGGAATTCCTGGGGAGTAGGGGATAATTGCTGGACTAGACCATGTTCCAAGATACTTGCATGATAAGCTGGCTTACGTGATATGCTAGCTCACCTGATATACCCTTCTCCGTGATGACCAGGTCCGGCTTGAGGGCGATGACCTCACCACAGATGCGCTGGATGAACTCCTCTTCCAGCTGCAAGATGCGGGTGAAGTCCTCCTCCTTGGTGATCTCCAGGCTTGTCTGCCGGATGCAGCGAGAGACACATCAGTGAGTCAACAATGTAATTTCACAGACTAATCTCACATAAAGCGACCACAAAAAATGGTGAGAGCGCCCTCTTGAGTCCTATCTCTGCAAGACACTCACTTGACTCTCTCCCTTCTTGTATTCCAGCGAGCAGTCCAGGAGCATGATGCGAGGATTCTCGATGCGCCGACGCATGCGGGGGTGGGTCACGTCCTTGTTGAACATCACACCGTCCAAGACGCGGGAATCCTCGATAGTGCCACCAGGAACCTGAACAAAGTGCAGAAACGAGAAGAAAAAGAGGCGTGTGGTCAGCTTGCATCTCGCTGTCCACACGGTCACAATCTGCTGCATCTCGCTGTCCACACGGTCACAATATGCTGTAAAAACTGACATCCTGTTCTTGGAGTCCAACTTTTCACCTACATATTGCCCTTACCTTCTCCACCTTGGCATATCGTTTGATGTCAATCTCCTTCCGTCCGTTCTCTTCCAGTGCCACCTTGGTGACGGCATCGTAAGCAATGTCACAAGCTAGGGTACCCCTGGGAAAGATGCAACATAGTCTCATTTGAACACAAGAAAGGACACGCCCACCACAAATACACTGTATGTACTAATAAGGCCACGCCCATTTAGAAAAAGGCCACGCCCATTACAAACTGTACAAAGGCACCATTTAAATAAATACTAATATGGTCACACTGATTGCCAATCTGTGCTAGTGAAGCCACGCCAATCAAAAATCTATACAATGAAACCACACCCACACTTTTAACTTAGGGTCCCAGTTATGTAAGAAAAATGCAATGATAATGACGCAGGGTTATGTTGCTTGAATTCGTACACACAAATGGTCAAACAATTAAGTAGTACTAATAGGTACACTTAAACAAAATCTCATGCTTACCACTTGCTGATGAACTTTGTTCCAACGCAGCTTTGAATGATCTTAATCATTTCATCTTGGTTGTTAACATCGACTTTTTTGCTGCATAAGAGATCAAAAGAACCTAAAATCTGAATTTTCTTCAAGGCTTTTTTCCAAATGACTGTTACAAAGGACTCCTACAAAAGCCAGACCTGAATGTGAACCCTGAACTCTCTAATCTCACCAAGTCCAATGCCGTTTCCAGCATGTCGTGCATGGCTTGCCATGCACCTTAGGGTCATACGTTGGGTGTGAACCCCGGACCATCTTACCTAAATGAGTCTTTCATGATCTCTAGCATGTCATCCATGGCTTGCCATGCACCTTAGGGTCAAGCGTTGGATGTGAACCCCGGACCATCTTACCTAAATGAGTCTTTCATGATCTCTAGCATGTCATCCATTGCTTGCCTGTAGGCTCCAATGATGACTGTGGGGTGCATTTCTTGCTCCAGGAACGTCTCAGACACTGCCATCATTTCCCCAGCTACAAGACAACAATAGTTGCACCACACAAAGGGATGACTGACGGTCTTCATTCAAAGGGGTGTACTCAAGATTTTGTTCACTGACGTCACATAACTCACACAATCTACACCTTTCTCGTTACCACAACATACTTTTCAAATGACTAAAAACGTCTCCTATCAAACTCTTCCCAAGTAACTAACTAGACACAATATCCAAATGTTTACAACTGTACCAAACTGTTTCATTCAACAAATGCACAAATACTTTAACAACTGTACAAAAATGTTTTCACTGATCTTAAACACTCAGAAAAGAACTGCAGTTAAAGCCAAAAAGTGACAGAGTTTTCATTAAATACAGGCAGATCCTGCATGGCACTTGCCAATATCCTCAGTTCATCAGTTTGAATGCTATGCTCCTGTGTATCACTACATATAACTGTAAAAATCACCAACCCTAACCATCCTCAATCCTTCCAAATCCTGCGGGCGGTTTTGGAGAATTGAGGCTACATGGCAAAATTGCATTGCTGATTGCGATGGGCACACTGTCTCAAGGTTCTGGGTTAGACCTTGTGTTGTTTATATTCAGCCATGCAGAAATTCATGCCCACATCATATGTGAAATAGTCCATACTGCTCCAGGATACCATTCACACTGCCTCAACTTAATGAGAGGATTTGCCAAAGGATTTTGAAGGATTGAGTTAGTGGGCACCCCTTCAAAGAACATATTCAAGAAATATTGTGGGATTTTGGAGGACTGAGGCTGTATCCAATCTTTTCATGGGGGCAGTTGGAGGATTTTGAAGGATTGAGGGTGTATCTTAGTCAAAAGGACCTAGGCGGTTTGGGTTAATATTGTGATTTTCCACAAATACCTGAATATTCACTCCAACGGACATCTAAATAGTTGAAGCATTCGAACTGACACAGCCCTGCTAACAACCTTTAACAATCCCAAGAACATGTCCAGTTCAATGACCCCTCCACCTTTCACAATAAGCTCTCTTTGAGTTAACTTTTAGTCAAGACGGCATCCCTGAGTCTTACCCAAGATAATAACTGATGTGGTCCCGTCTCCAACCTCTTCATCCTGAGTGCGGCTGATCTCAATCATTGACTTGGCAGCTGGGTGCTGGACAGTGATCTATTTCAAAGACAAAAAAGTGATGCTAAATACAACATTCCTCATCTTGAACAAAGGTTTGGATATAGCTTTGGAAAGAGACAGCGTTTTGAGTTTGGCTGATTGTGAAACAGCAAAAGTAAAGGTTGACGTATTTCTTTCTGTCTGCTGATTCAAATGATTTTTTTCAAAGTAAAGAAGGAAGAGAAAAATCCATAAGCAACTGAAAAAAAAAAGATGTAAAAAATTTGGGGACAAAAATCCTGAAATCTGGAAAAATCGGGGGGAAATCCCAGCCCAGCCTAAGAGAATGCATGTAATAAACACTCTTTTAAAGAGAAAAAACTCACCAAAGTTAAGCATTTTGACTACACTAGCACTATTTCTATGAATTCTCTTACCTCTCTGAGTATAGCGTTACCATCATTAGTCATTACAATACCACCCATGGGATCCATTAACATCTGAAAAAAAAAAAGAAACATGCAGAACACTGATCAAGTCTCATTATCAATTCCAGTTTTCCTTGGAGAGGCAATCATTTGTCAGCCTTGCATATTTCATGGACTCAGTCAAGTGTAGGACCAGTGGGTAGCATCGAGTGACCTGGTCAACTATGTACATATGCATTTAAACACAGTAAAAAGATCAAGCCTGTTGGTTTGACAGTAAACCATCCATGTTGCTACATCCAACAAAATCCTACAAATGCCAGGCAACAAGCTCCCTGAATCTGACACACTCCAACAACTACCCAGAAACCCTGCTAAATCCAACAAAATCCTCATACAAAAAACAACACAAAGCCTGCTGAATCCAACAAAACCGTCCAAAAGTAAAGAACCATAAAAGTCCTAAATGCAACAAATCCCAATGACAGGACACCATCAATTGGGCCCGAGCTACATGTTCATGTAGTTTAGTCAAACCCATTCAAAATTGACATATGGACATTAATGACTTTTATGGGTATTAAACAGTGCAAACTTCATTTTTCAAGCTTATAAATGCATCTCCAGTGTCAAGGCAGGTGCTTTAACTATATTAGAACTGTGAAATTTATTGTGACCAAGAATAGAAAGGGGCCTGTGGAAAAACAAAGTAAAATAACTCATCATCTTCTGCCTTGGTTAAAGTGTCACGGTACACTATTTGGCATACAGAGGGAAACGGCATTGCGCCATTGATTTAGAAGGGTTTCACCTCTTGGCAAAGGACTGTGAAAAAATTACAGAAAATTAAGAAACACTGCTATCTTGTGACATGAATATGCCATGTTTTTCCGCGTTAATCAATTATTTACAGAAAAACAACATAACTGGCATTGCTGACAAAATTACATGTCATTCAAAAATGGCCTAACTGGCACTACTGTGATGTTGTGTCACTTTCTTTCGTATGACATCAGATTCAAGAACCTTGCACAATGATTTTTCTGTGTGGCAGGCAGCTGTGTACACAGACACTTTGAATTTCTTCCAGTGTCCAGTACGCATATTCATCTCCACCCAAGAGCCTAGGGCAAGATCTTGTGCGTTTAACATAATTTGAATTTAATTTGCACTTTGCCCGAGGGAATAATGTTCCCCCTGCCCAGGACATTATGTTAAGCAATTGATGGTGTGGTGATACACTGTAGTCGCACAGTTGAAATGGTACATTGGTTTAATGTTGTATCCAGACATACATGTACCAGTAAATGTAAATCACTTAGGATTGAGCTCTTTGCTGACAAGAAAAAAAAAGTGGTCTATTTGAATAATCAGGAAGGCTTGTCTGACCTTTAACCTTTTGATTTAAGCAGTCGATCAACACCTCATTATACCTTGCCACCTGCACGTCCCTTTGATCAATAAATACTCCATCCAGAGTCTGCCGCAGAATTTAAAATTCGGAATGTCTATGTTGTCAGGTGAGGTGACACTATCAAAAGACTCCAGTGTGAAAAGGCACTGAATTAATAACAGTGTGTAGGTATGTCGGCTCGCTCAAGACCTGCGCTCTACTGACTGGCTCATGAAACCTGATCTTGAGACGCAGTGTTGCTAAATAATAACCAACGTCGGTGTTACATTAACGGTTTCGGCGAGGCGAGGGAAGATGTCAACATGGCGTTGAGCCGCTCGGCAAAAATATGCTGTCTTGGCCCCCAAGGGTACTCAAGCAACGGTGAGTGCCAAAACTTCAATTGTAGTTACGGTGAAGTGAACCGTTATAGAAAAAATCATAGCAGTGATACTGTACAATGTGCCATGTGAAAAACACGCAGACAGATGTAAATGCAAGTGGTTTTGCACAGCAATAAGTTCTATGCGTACCCTGGGTTTTCAATGTCAATCTAATATACATCATGTCAAAATTTTGTACTCTAAATTGACTTTAGTGAAGTCAATTTTATGATGCCTTTGTCTATTCCTGTCGCTAATATGCATAGCTTTATCTGATATTGTACATGTACATGTAGGTATCATACTAGTTCAATAGAGCACCAGGCTATAGCAAGAGGTCCTACAGTTCATGTACATGCATGTGTACATAAGGTGAAGTACACTACGGTATTTACAAATACTTGAATAATGTGTTTTAAAGGGCCCAGACAATGTCGCTTTTAGACTCAGCTCGTCTACATGTACATACATGTGCATATGTGTACTTTGTGTTTCAATTTTTGGGGGCCACTTTAAGGACATCTTTGATACTTTTCAAGCTAAAACAAATTTGCATAGAAGCAATAGTGAATAGTGTGATGTCACTAAAAATTTATTCTGATTGTTTCTGCACAAAAACTGGCTCAAATTTTGGATCTGTTGCTATTATATCACAACATGTATACCTACCGGTGTATTTTGATGATTGTTTCAGTTCACGACATGTGAGGCCAATGAATGAAAGTTTCTCACCGATATTTTCAGTGCACAGAAACCACCCTCCCATGAACAGTGTCTTCTTGTTACTTTTGTTCCACAAATGTACACATGTACAATCGACCACACATGTGCACGTGTATCATACATACAAACATCGTCAGTGCACATCAAAACACATTTTAAAACTCAACAAACATGAGAACTACCCTTGTATTTTGGGCACGAAAGTTACTGTGATCGGAAAAGTGAAGAGGTTAAATGTCTCCTAATAAGCCTTTTGCGAGTTAACTTTGACCCAAATCTGGTACACCGAGTTCTTTAAATTCATGTGAATGTAACAACTTGAATTCTCCATACTAAAACCACTGTTGCTATACCTCGTGATTCGGGGCAAGCTTTTGCTTAGATACAAAAGAGACGCCTTGCAACAATACACTGTTTTACATGGATAAGAAGGGCACAAAGGAACCAGTCCATTCCAGAGATGGTGGTTGCTATGCAAACGCTTGCCCCGAATCACGAGGTATAGCAACAGTGTCGTTAGTCTGGGGAATTCAAATCGTTATGTTTATGTGCAATGAGATAACTCAGTGTACCAGATTTTATTCAAATTTAATTCGCAAATGGCTTATTGCAGACTTTGCAGTGTAGTAGTTAAGACCAGTCACAAGTAACAGAGTGAACAATGACAAAGGAGTGCTTTTGTTGCAGTTCATTTGAATAGCATGTGACTTGAATTCAGACTGGAGGTCTTGTGTTGGTCTTGTGCTGGTCTTGTGAAGGTCTTAAATGGTCTTGACTACAACACTCAGACTGTGTTTGAGAAAACAGGCTTCGCCAAGCTGTGTTGATCAGTGCTACTTGATTAGACCAGACCATTGTTTTAAGAGTGACAGTGACATGGTGATAACTGATGTGGTAAACTCCTTGTTCATAAATAAAATTTTCATTTCAAACCAAACCAAATTCTCTTTCGGCCTATCAATTACAGTTGCACACTACCGGTGTGCATGTTTTTCATTGGTCATTTATAAATACATGTACATGTACCTCAGACAGTCTCCCTATTCAACAACGAGCAACTTGACTGTGTATTAGGCCAAACAAAGTAATAGGTGTGCTTCAAGTTACCTGCCCCAACCTAGTAAACCACGCCGACCCTAAATCTGTTTATTGAAAAAGAAGGAAAAATAAAAAAAATGTTGCCAACCCTTGTGCTTATTTCAGGGATGTGAAACCTCAGCCTTTTTTTTTGAGTGTACTGAATTTTATTGTCCACTTTTTCTTCCTTGCGTAAATGCCAATTTTTCCATGTTTTCTTTTTCTACCGACGCAATGCGACAGCAAGGCCAACCTTTGCACTGGAGCTCCGTGTATGCGACTGATATCTTCTGTACATATACCTGTACGGTACATGTGTAGAGTGATACGTCTGTGTGGCTCGAAGCGCAAGCCTTGTGTAGAAATAGCATCCTGAAACTATGCGGTCATTGTCTTGTGATTGGCTGCCAATGAAACATCAATATTCATACATATGTCGGTGGGACCCATTACAGCCGTGGCTCCATGAGTGAAAGCAGTGACTAACAATTTCCATTATAACAGGTTCACACACCACCTCCTTGTCAGGGTTTTACATGAACACACAGAAAAGTCATGAGATTTGATTTTTGAAAAGCTGCAAAAACTATCGAGATGGCTTACACAGCTGGAAACAATGGAAAATTTTCCAAAATAAACAATAATTTTCCATGACAGAAATGGTTTTTAATGGAAAAGAAGTTAGCCCAATTATCCAAACATTAACTCTCGAAGAATGCTCAAGGACGCCGCCATGTTGCTTGCATACTACAAATAACTAGTACCGATAACCAGTTGTAAGTTCCCGGCGTTCGAGCGGCCAACCAAGAACAACAAATCGAGCTTTCTGTGAACATACGAGAACAAGCCACCCGAACTCGGCCCTGGTGTCATTTACACTACTCCCACCGTACGTGCACAAACTACAGCAATAAATGGAAAAAAAAATCTTTGTTGCACAAAGATTTCTGCAACTTAATTAACACAACTTAGTCCGTTGTCTGTGTAAGTATTTTATATGTTTACGAGTTAAATTGAGCTCGTTTTGCTCATGCTTGAAGTGAACGGGCTTCCGCAAAATTTCCTACCGCAGCATGAGGTTTATTGCCCACCTGTCTGGATGCATCATAGATGCTTACCACGCGATACACGGACACTGTTGGCCAGTTTGCCATGATGATTACCTGACTAGCATTGTGCATAGTGGTGTAAATTGTCCATAATTCTTAAATTTTGACAAACATGTGGATTAAGGCTGTTTTTATTCCCTTTTTGAGGCGATGTTTGATAGCTTTCCTAACCATTCATGCCATTCAATCAGCACCAAAAAATTGAACCCCCCCAAAAATCCAACCTTGCGACCCTATTTATCGGAAGCAGAACCGTTTTCTTGAGAGGGCCTTATCAATCCCTTAAGAAATAGAGGAAATACAGTCATCTTTATAAGATTTTGAGCGTTTCATCATCAAGACCAACTTGTACATGAAACCCATAGAGTTTATTACTGAATGCAGGAATGATGACTTGAGTGATGACCAAAGTTCTCATTTTCTCCAACTGCTCTATCATTGAATGTGAGTGAAACAATTCTGGGAATACTTACCTTCATCATTGCCCTTGGTCCCAGACATGTTCGTATAACATCCGCAATTGTCTGGAGATTAAAAAAAAACACTTTATTAAATACGTACATGTTAAAACCATTTGAAAAGCATTTATTTGCAAGAAAATAATCACTACACAACTCAAATGGTGTAACTCAGAGCAATAACAATTTATGAGGAAATTTTGAACAGTAAAATCCAATACAATGACTGGACTGAAGAGTTGAGAGACTTATGAATGCATTTAACATAACAATAGATTGTCGGATGACCACTGAACATGCGTGGTGACTGTTTTTAAGGGAACTCTTAAGTTTTTACCGTGACGACTGGCTCTGTGCCATGTTGTTGTGACCTTGGTATTTACAAGACAAGAAACTGATCATGCAACAATTTCAGAGACATTTTCCTCAATAAAAAATACTCCTGGGCCAAAATCAGTAAACCACATTAAATACCCTTTAATCACGTGTTGGAATCAATATAAAATAGCAAGAGAACTTAGAATATCCTTCATTTGTAGGGGGATAAAAAAAAGGTCCCTACTGTAACTGGGATAAGAACGCTGATGGGAAACTTTCACATTTGCTCAAGAAACGCATGTTATCCACAAGGCCACAGGCCTCATGCTTGAATGATCATTAACGGTAATGGTAACTTTTTCAATTGCCTTCTCCAGATATATAAGCATCAAATCAAGTGCTGTCTACATACATGTACAACTAGCTAAATATTGTGTACTGCAAGTTAGCCTGTGCTGGCTAAATATACACTTCCTAAACACCAAACAAGGGAAAGGATGGAAGTGTGTGATGCGTCATGACTGTACACAGTCATTCATGTACATGTTTCTTTTATTCCATATCAAGAACCTCCAATGTTAATTTATAGACTCAAACTAGATCAAATTAGAAAAAAAAGACAATAAAAAGCCATGATAAAAAAGGTACTTTCCAAAGCCGTTACAGTAAACCTTAATGAACACATGTAGGCCCAACAGTAACACTACCTAGGCCTAGTACTGGTACTGGACATGACTGAATAAACCAAAGCATGAAAAAAGTGTGAAATTCTCTATTGCATCTTTCATTTTTGTCACTTTCACACTCCATCACCCATGGAATTACTTGATTCCAGCTACATGGGGGGCATAATATTATAACTTAGCCTATGACTTGTGTACAAAGTGCCCAATTTTCCAGAATGTTCTACAGCTTCAACTCACGCACAACATGGCATGACACAGGGAGAACTGATCTTAGTTTTAACATGTCAAAGGGGCATTCAAATATTGTATAGGGTGGTACAACTGCAACATTAAAAGACTTAAGAGCTACTAAAATTCATTATGCAAAATTATATACGCATAAGCCACACAAAGGTGTGCCCTACTAACGGTGTGCCATGTGCTGCTCGCAAAATGGCGTCGTCCATGCCGCTTACCTTGGCTGCCGTTACGTTGCCAAGCTGAACTTTTCGTCCGCTTTCTCGCTTCGTATTTTGATCTGAAATACACATGAAATTCCATTGTTAGTTCATTAATGATTCCTCCATCTATCCTTGCTCTGAGATTAGAGGAAATGTACTTACTGAGAACTAAAATCGGTTGTCCGCCGCCGGGATACATCGTGAATTTTTACCACAAAATAGTCGGAATGAGCGGAGTGTGAATTATGCACTCGTCGCGACCAAGAGAGGGCGGCCTATCGAAATTACGGTGATTTTTTTTTTCCTGCTCTCATTCACGAGAGGGAGACCATTCACAATCGAATCAATGCATTTCCAGAAAATGAAATCAGCTCTGAGCACTGACTCGGAAAAGCAGTTGAGTGGCCGAAGAGTAACAGCTTCAAGAGAAAACAAGAGCGGTTCCAGAACAATTGGGGGGCAAAAGATTTTTTCAGGAGCCAAAGAAGTTGAAAATATCTTTATGTATCTTTGAGCCTGACCAAAAGGTGAGGGGTTGAAAAGTTTGGGGTTTCACGTCGGGAAGGGAGAAACCACCCCCAAAACACTCTCGTCTCAAATGTTTCTTCAAATAACCTTTGTTGGGGTGAGGGATGGACTTCTTTTCCTCCATTGATCCGCCAGTGCGAGAAAACAAACTGCAACATTCTCCACAATGCAAATCTACAGTGCACCACCCCCCAGTGGGTTTCCCTGGAATGTTATTCTGAAGTTCACTTCCACTGAAAAAAGGAAACTTGTATCTCTCATCGTCTTGATCCATCTAGGTTTCTTGACGCTTCCAGACTAACTGGCATTGCATTTTGGGATTGGTTTCATTAACTGGAAAAAACAAACAACAATTTAAAAGTACTTCAGGGGGAGGGATCAGGGCGGGCGGGGGTTCAGGGCTCAAACAGAGCTTTCATTTAAAGTTTTTAATGACATCAATATTTTTATAAAGAGAATTTGAAATATAAACTTCGAACCTTTAAATATATTTCACCATTAAAATTATTATTTAAACTTGAACGTTCTCCGACAAAGATAAGAAAGTAGTAAGCTGTATACATGTACATGTACTTCAAACCTCGGGTTCAATGTACATTCACCTGGCACACGCCAACAGTTATTTGAAAATCGAAAGGGGTGCGTACCTAGTAAAATGAATTTGCAAGTATTTATAGTAAATAAGGAAATCTTTTTTTCTGTTGACGATTGATAAAATGAATGGTCTTAAAATTTACTTCAAGACTCAATCATGTTCCCCTAATTTTGCTATTTAGTCTTCTTTGAAGTGGAACTTCACCCCCCAAATTATGAAATGAACCCTTCCACCAGAAGCAAAACTGTAATTTTTAATTATTGATTCATTTAGGTGTCTGCGACTCTACACATTAATTAAAAATGCTCATTTTTCAAGGCCTACACATGCTGTAAATCGTTCTGCAGAAAGTGGAATATCCGTCTGTTTGAAGGAATCACTGATGTGATAAAGATTCCAAGGCCTTCGATGACCGAGGAGTTTGTTTCGTGTAAGTATGGTGTAAGGTGGTTTCGGTCCGTTATGTGCGCATTAAGCGTGTATTGTGCATAGCCTGAATGGTTGTTTGGCCAAGTGTGAGCTAACCAGTCAAGCGTGAAGGGTTCAGGATGTGCGTCATGTACATGTACAGTATGTCAGCATGTTGTGGAAAAAATGACTCGATTTCTTAACCGACATTAAGCCCTGTACTACTGCTCTAAAAGTTGTAAGAGTGTTTTGGTTCAAATCGTTGACATCAGCCAACATGATTCAGGGCAGGCGGGGACTTCTACTTCTGGGTATCCGTTTGAGCACTCCATATCCGTTATTGCGGTAATTTGGTTCTTTTCCGGAGTACCGGTCGCCACTCGTGTGGTGGTGGTGGTAGTGGTATCGTTGTGTAAATTGAAGTTGAATTCCTCCATGCCCGTTTTGAGTTTGTGTGCTTCAAAAACTATGGAGTCACCATTACCAGAAATTGTGATAACAACAGCGAGAGGTAAGTACTCAGCAATTGGCTGCGAGTTACAGTAAGTACCCATATGACACAATGTACATCTAGAAATACCCATGTGAAGTTGTAAATTGGAGTGGGGCAAAAACTTTTGTTAGGCCATGGAGGTAGAAATAATAGAGTGTGTTCATCGGCGCGGCAAGGCATCCACGCTTCCACATACCTCAAGTTGTCAGTGCCCCACTGTGTCCACACAATTAGCATCATACAACTTCAGTTGCCATGGTTGGAGAGAAATACTTTGGAGAGAAAGGACATTGGCAAGCAAGTATTGTGAAATTGTGTTGAGATTAACCCTAACCCTCCTCAATCCTTCACCTGTTGGAGGACTGTGGAGTGTTAGGGTTAAAATAAGAGAAATGGAAATTGTAAGTAAAAGAAAGATGGATTCCAAGAAGAACTCAGTAAAGTCACCCCAATCATGGCCATAAAAATGTGTAAAAAATTAAAAAAACAGCCTGCCTCATTAATTGGTTTATTGCACTGTTTTATTTGATTCTGCTGAATAACCAGGAAGTTGAGTATGCTCAACTGTGATGTCCCGTTAATTACTGTACATGCTATGGGAGGGGGGGTTATGCAGTCAGCATTGTTGGTGCGTAACAAGTGCAAAAGTGGAGAGAAAGATAGATGGGCTTCAAATACATGAGAAAGTTATAGGCACAAAATGCTGTCCAGTGAATGCAGCATAATGCCATGGTACAATCCTGTCACGATATTGTGACTGATTTGCCATGCTCACTGTGCATCATTGGGTCATCTACTGTATACACAAGAGGACAATCTTTCTGTTGAATGTGTGCTCCTGAAATTAGCACTTTTGGGGTTTTACTACCTGTAGCTCTAGGGAAAGCTATTCCCCCAGTACTTACCGGGTACTACAACTTGGCCTATTGAACTGTAAGAAAGAGGCACCTGGTACATGTACACCATAGAGCAACGAATGCCTTGTTTTATGCTCTGTACATACCCAAACATCTCTTGACGCCCTGTGCACAAACCGTACATGTATGAAACTAACTTCACAAATGCTATTTTGTAAGGAAATGCTTAATTTTGACATTTTAGGACATGTTATTGTTTTCTGCTGGCTGATATCATTTTAGCAAAAAATTATTCATGCCTGCAGTGTACGTGTATGGAACTCTTACCAAACACCCAATGGTAATAATTCGATGTTGTATGTGAATCATGTCCATGTCAACTGATGGTTGAGAGTTCATGACAGCACTCATCTGTCATATTAGTTTATTACTTGCAAAAAAAATGCTGGTAGAAAACTAGAAATGTAATGGAAACCGTGCCAGACCATTTTTTCCCCTAGACTGCTTTACACATTTCTAATATCTTGGAACAAACTTGAAAAACTCAAGTTAAGTTCAAACTGGATGATATGCCTTGCATGAGCCCCAGTTATACTTAACTATTGTGATGTACAGTAGTTAGGCTGGCCCAACTATAGTCAACAAAGTTCTATAAAAAATTCTCAGCCTTCTCTGTCATATAGTTTCTTGCTCACACCTGATGGAATTCATCCAGAAATATGCCAGACTGGTATTTCATCCATGGCACTAATAAAACTATGCAAGCAGGAGTTGTTGATAAAGGAAATGACTTTGGCACATGCCGAGGCACATACTGCCTGCAGTGGCATTCTTTGCAATACACATAGTTGGACAGGCATGTTATCTCTGCGTAGACCTTGGCGTTAGCCAACCAAATTGGTGTGCTGTAAGATTCCTTTGTGCATTATTGGTATGTCCCTTCCAAAGTGACTTTGATATGTACAGTGTACATGTAGCAGTGTAAGGCTCTTGATAACAGACTGGTACCTGTTAGCATGATCTGCATGTGTGGTAATTCCCCAGACCAAAGAGTTGTCTGCTCTGAGAAAACAAACATTTATTGGCACATGACGCAATGCGATCTTGAGTCTGCACCTAAAATGGCAAAATGCTCAGTTCAAACGATGCAAACGTTTAGGAGATCCTGAATATTTATTTCACCCTTCTAATTTTGAGATGAAAGTAGTAAGGAGTGCCAACTTAGACTTTATTCAGAAAACAATTTACACACATGAACCTTTGCTTTTCAAGGATTTTTGTGTCCAAGGGCTCATAATTATCTTGGGCTCTACATGTACATGCATGCAAAGTTCCTGTCGTTTGAAAAGTTGTCATTTCAAACCAAATGATGTATGTGTGTCAAAAGGCATGGAGTGCCAACAGACATTATCGCTAGAAACATTTCATAACTATTTTATGTGCATGTCTTGTATTGTAGCGATGGACAGCCATCGTCTGAAAGCAGGACAAATTTATCAAAATAAGACAAATTGAGTCTAGTATGGTCCTCCAAACACTGGCCACTTGCACAAGTCTCGCTACAATAGCCAATTTCTGATCGCTGCTATTTACTGAGCATTCAAGGTCAGCATCCTATTCATTAGTGTTGGTCGCTTGCACAAACACAAACAAACAATTCTATGTCCATGAACCCTTTAGCTTTACAAGGTCCACACACTGAACGCAGGGCCAGCGATTTTTCCATATTGGTATTACTGTATGTCAGGTCACGGCAAAAGCAAAGTTGATCAATGGATGTGTACAACAGTTAATGAGAGGTTGGAAGTCTGCTCAATGTTACATGTATTGTACAGTAACAAAACGGTTTCATCTATTTGTCAGGACGAAGTTATAAAATTTAACTTGTCATGAATTGTATGTGTGATAGTCAGTATAGTCCATAGCTCTGAATGAATGCAAGAGATCTGACATTATTGAACTGCCGGGCCATGACAGAATCATCCGTCAAAGAAAAAGTCCTTTTGAAACTGTTTAATTTCCATAATTCAAACATCAACCTTGGATTGGCCTCTCTAGTTTAGGAAGTTTGTCGTTGGTTTATGTTGTTACAGATCCAGTGTTTTCCATTCATCAATTCTCCCGTATGGGTTGAAGCATTTAAAATTCAAAGGCTCTCAGCACAGAATCAAACAAATTGCCAGTTAATTCACAAAATCTTCAAAAATCTGATTTTCCAGCTTCTCAAACACTTCTTTAAATAAATAGTTCACTCCCACAAAGAAATTTCTTCCTTCTTCAGTGTAAACTGTTCAAATGTGTCTCTGGAGGCCACAGGTGTTGTCAATAAAGGATGAACTTCCTACAGACTCTGTTAACTTACACAAAGTGGCGGGGCGTGTGCAATTGAGCGGAAGAAAGGCCTAAGTATCACTCTTGTAAAATACCTTGTAATTTGTTTAAAAGAAAGACTTCTTGCAAAGTGAGGTTTAACATCTGAAAAAAGCAGAGCCAGTTGTTTTGTTTATCACTTGATTTACTCACTCTTCATTGGAAACACCCTGGCTAACAGATGTCAAGGTGTGTTTGATGGGCAAATATGACCAACTTTGCCGGTACCGGTACATGGACTAGACCTGCATGTACATGTAATGCATGTTGAAGTAGTTTAACCTGCTTTTGCACCATATCAATTATTATTTGACTTAAGTAGTCAAAATAGTGATAAGAGCGAAATTCAGTGCATGCAGGTAAATATGCAAAAAAGTATATTTAGAAAAGACTAGTTTGGCAATATGTAGGGTAGGGTGTACACGTACATGTTCATTGAGTTTGACCAACCTTGGCAAACCCTCTCACTTCCTAGCGGTGCTTGGAGGCTTGTTGTATGAGGATTGAGGGTTCCTTAAACCTCCAGTATGGCCATCACATTGTCCAGTGGGCTAATTACCGTGGAGGTTCACTCTTGGTTTTTGTCTTTGTATTTTTATTTGTTTCATAATTTAAATCTTTGTATACAATTTCCTGTGTTTAATATTATCCTTGTGAAATCATGTGGAATTCAGCCTGTTTGACTGCAATGATGATTGAATAAAGCACCATAACAATAATAATAAAGTCTTCTCTGACATTGGGTACATGTAGTTTGCACAAGCGTTAGAGAATACAATTCACAGGGTTGATTCACGGTTCGGGCAAATGCCAAAACAGAGCAAAGTTTCGCTCCAAAAGCATTTGCAGTGAATTAGCCTGAATTGGAGGTACTGTAAGTTCAACCTGCAAATTCATGGCAGGAATTTATTATTGTTTATTTTGTGCCAATTATGAACCCACCCTGAGTGGGATTTGAACCCATGGTTTTACGGGCAGGGATGTGCCTTGATCACTACTCAAGCACTGACCTTTCCTGGTTCCAAACCATGGATAAATTTACCAGAGTCAGAACTGCTATCAGTGACTGGGGGAGACATACATGTGTACTGGGATGTTTAAATGTGCGATTTCCTTACCTGTTGTATACTATGCGTATTCCCACCAGGCTTCATATGCATACTGGTACAATGTACATCACTCATGAAGTGTAAAGTTATGGACTGATACCAGTATACATGTACATGTACAGTACAGTAGCCAGCCTGTCGTTACCCTACATGTACATGTACTGCCTACTGGATAGTGTTCATGTAATGCATCTTGGAGGCTGATTGCTAATCAAACTGGGAAGGTCGAGGGCTTCACTTGTCTGTCACACTGACTTGCAGTGATTGAATCACTGCAGGCTACATGTGATGTACATGTATGTGCCTTACATGTACAGTACATGTACATGCCACACAAAGAAACGTGTGCAGGTGGCATGGCATTATACAAACATGTACATGTACGGTAGAAACATCTTCATGTTTGCGTGTTGCAGGTGGTTGTGCGCACACTTGAGTTCTTGTATCAATCAATCATAACAAGCTTTGTGCTTGTTCATTCATGTGTAACAATGCAGACCAGCACATGGTTTTGATATTCTCTCACAAGAGGAGTTGAAAATGGTCTGCAGGAAAGCTGCCCTTTGCAAAACTACATGTCTAGTTTTTTTCTGTAAGTCATTCATGAAGTTCTTATATGTACATCATTTGGAAATACCGATATGTAACCCTAGCATTACTGCAAGAATTTAACCGCTGTACACAAACATGTACATGTACATGAGCTTTAGTTTGATTTCCATGAGTGGAAAAATGGCCCAAGTTTAATTTTGTTTACACTTGATAATCTTCTCTCTAAACTGTTTGCTCAGTTCGTGTTTATACCTGTTGGATCCCCTTTAACTTTAAGTCCAATAGCTTTAAGAACCTCACAAAAGAGGTTTTTGCTGTTGGGTGGTCAGGACGTGCCTACCCTACATGTATGTTGACTATATGGCGATGCCAAATGACACGGGTTGGTGAGTGGACTCCCCTATACTGACCAAAGTTCAGACAATTGTGTTCAGACTGTGGGCACTGTGAGCCTCGTGTCCGCATAGATACTGCATGGACTCAAGCCCCATCTCAAGTGAATTATTAATTAACCCAGCACTGCAACTGCATGCATTGCTGGTTGTGTTAGCCCAACTCTGCTCATTTGTCTTCCGTCGTTACGGCGACATGAAGACACCCTCGCTGTATGCACGTCACAGTTCGTTAGGCTAAGGAGTCATTAATTCACATGTAGTGCTCTACGATGGAGAAGCATGACGAGGAGAGCACAAGACAGAAAATATGGAATAGTGAGTACAGTGGATTGGTCATGTATGTACATGTACATTTTAGATGTGTTTTCTTCAGTAACAAGCCACCAATACGTTTCAGTGTTTAAACAGGACAAAATTTGTTCTTTTCAGATTGAATAATGTTCATATTTTGATTGTGTAAATATCATAAATACTCCCATGACAAAGACTTCATCAAGTTTGTTTCCTGTGACATGGGCTTGTCATACATGTACAGGTATGTCAGTTGGATTCCATACATGCCTTTTTAAATTACACATCAGTTTAGTATTTGTTCAAGAAAAAATTTGAAAAGGCAACGTGCATGTACATGTAGGATGTGTACAATGTTCAGGTGTTTGACACGTTGCAAGCAAACCTTGGTTTGGAATTGCTGGTCAAAGAATAAAAAGCAATGAGGCATGTGGGGCCAGTCATAAATGTCTTGTTTTATGATGTGTGCCCTGGAGGCTAGCCTCCTGGCAGCGAGCTACGGTAGCCTGTGAAAACAAAGAGACACCAACAGGAAATATTTTGACTCAACCTACATTTATGCAAGTCAAATTTGTACAATCACTCGTTCAGGGCTTGAAGTATATGAAAACTCCATCAGAAATTTACGACTGATACTTGTAACATTGCAAAAGCAGTACGGTAATTTTGTTGCATTAATTTAAAGTTAATTTCCCAGTCAGTAGAATCTTCTCATTGAATTTTTCATCTGTCAGGAGGATTGGAATTATATTTTGCAGGTTGTAATAAGGAAAACAAAAACACAACAAAAATTATAGTAGCGTCGGGCTTCATGGCCCGACCTACATTGTACATGTATCAGTAGAAAAATACAAAGAACCTTTATCTTCTTACAAAACAAACTAGAATTAAGAAAATGCCAATTTATGGTGCCCACCTACGGGCACATCTAATGTCTGTGCTCCCTGTTCTTAAAAAGTCTGCCATACTCTCGAAGGCGTTTAGCTTGGCGAAGAAAAAGGGGATTATTGTAATGCCTACATGTGTACAGCCATACATGTAAATTGAGACGGTCTTTACCAATGTCAGAACGTATTAAAAATCTTTCGATTTCAGAGGAAACCCAAAATGTTATCATGTTTGGCGAATAAGGAAATCAGGTGCAGTACGATACATCCATGTGACTCTTTCAAACAGCAAGCCGAAGCATTCAAGAGCTGTTACCAATAATACAGAGAGCTACATTGTACAGAGCAATGCAGTTGGCTGATCTATTGTAGCATTTGTCATTGATTAATCTATAAGTCAAAGGTCATGTGCCCTGGCATCCTCCACATTATCCCGTGCTACATGTAGAAAGAATCATTGCAGTTGATGCGTAACCTTCAATATGATAACCGTTGCAGGACATTCCCACTCTCATTTGTCTCATGCTGCCGTGAACTTGAAAATTCAATTGAAATTTGAAATTGATTTTCTGTCGAAAGCTCGCACATGCACAGATGAGAATGATTGTGCATACACGTACATGTACAGTGTACAGGTAGTTTGCATTTGAATGTTTGATGCATGTACATCCCTACTGTAATGAGGTGAGTTTGAGTCTGTCTGTTTATCTCATGTGGTTCAGTTTGTTATGGACATACATGCACTATACTTTGATAACGTGCAGGAACTCATAATTTCTGCCCTGAACCCGTATGTGTACAAGTACATGTAATTTCATGAGAAATGTCTGAGGTACCCTTATAAAACTAGGCTGACTGATTTTGATGGATTACTTGGATTTTGTTTTAAAATTTCAGTCACATACATGTATATGTAAGATGACCAGATCACAAGGACTGCTTTTCTGAGTTTATTTTAAATGTCTTAAACGTTTTTCTAATGTCACTTATTGTTTTGCTTCCTTCTTTGATGGGGGGCTGTGTTAGCACTTTGGGGCAAAGGGAGTTTGAGGCAGCTATGGATTCCATACACAAGCTCCAGGCATCCTGAAAATTCTACAACAGCAGTCATTTTGAAAGACCACTTGAATGCCATTGTAGTGTTAAGTCAAAACTCTGGTGCAGCTGTCTATTACACAAACTCTAACTTGCGCATACTTTGATTATCATCATTAATTCATCATTACACATGCATGCTGCAATGTTTGTGTCATCTGTAGTTGCTCCATAAAGTCCTTGGTCGCTCCATCCTTTCCAGTCCCTTGTTATGACATTAGCAGTAGACCTGCAGCCTGTTAGGAGGGTACAGTGTACCCCAGTGTATGGCATGATATTTCTATTTAACGTGTACTTTCCCATCGGCTACATGTACTGTACATATGCACACTTCATTAGGCTCTTGATAGCGATCTTATAGTGCCATATTGACTGCATCACTGGCCTTGGAATTAACAGTTGCCCGACAAAATCAGCAGTTTTCAGAGTTTTTAGCCTGTCCAGCCTTGTTTGTATTCCAATAAAGAAATGACATACAAATTACATACATTACTGCTCATGCATAGTGGCATGTGTTATTATCATGCATGTCGGGTGTAAATTTTGGTCAGTGCTTCATTAGGTGAGGAATGTAGGAATATGCAGTTGTCTGTATGTGTTTGGGCCGGTATTCCTGGCTGCCATCCAGGATACAGACGTGTACATTTACTGGTAGCTTGTGGAAGTCTGATCTTGGACCATTTTTCTGGATGTTATGTTCTCATTTTTAGAGGATGCCAGGATGTCTAGCACCGATGAGCTAGACGAGCCACACAGAGGCTCCCTTTCCACCTCCCAGCCTGCCCTGGACCGGCACAAGCGACGCAGCCTCTGGAAGACGTTCAAGAAGAAGACCAACCCAATGCGACGATGGAACTCACTCCGGGGCAACAGCAAAGACCGTCGGGCCTCGGCGGACGTGGGCGGCTCCTGCCTGTCCATTAACCCCTCCGAGCAATCGCAGGACTCGGACTCAGACTATACCTCACTGCCACGAGGGTCCTGCCTCAGCTCTAAGAACACCTGTCACAGCGAGACAGACTTAACGATGATGGCAAATGGTGGGATGAAGAGGAACAAGAGAAGTACTAAGAAGAAAAGCCTGTCGTTTGAAGATCAGAAACTCCATCGAAAATCCAAAGGAACTCTTGAAAACGAGGAAGCTGTTGAAATATCCAGGCTTGAAGAATCAGTAAGTAAACCAGAGCTTCTTAGATATTGAATTAGTAAGAGCGTGTACTGAGTACATGTACATGTACGCATACTTTACTAATCTGCATATTTTAATGCGCAGCGATTGGTTCCATGCATTAATTCCCTGTCAGTAATAACACATTTAAATCATCACCAGTCCATTGAAGTTGTACTTGCATTGCCTAGTATGCAGCACTTGGCAAATAAAATGAATTGGAACACAGTGTGACTGGTCCTGGTATCTGACACCAGCTTTTCTAAATTTCGAACCACGAAGGCAACTAGGAACCAGCTTGATCTCACGTCACCCCTCCGTCAGGCTTCAGCTGCCTCCTTAACTTTTTGACTCATTGTGCACAACCACGTTGCATGTTTGTTTGAGAGGAGCTGGTGTGTGCCTACTGAAGAGTTTGAATCTCCGCCATTTCTGTCATTGAGGGGTACATGGTACTGGTAGAAACACTTTACATAGGACACATACCGGTAAATTCACATGCAATCATTCCATGCTTCTTGGAATTGGATTTAAAATGGAGTCGTCAACACGAAATCTCACTAAAACTGTCCACCAGGAAACAGGTTCATGTACTAGTATTCATCCCGAGGATGGGTATTTCTTTAAAGCCATTGTTAGAAAAAAGAAAGGCACCAGCCGGTACAACTCACAATATACCAGCATGTACATGTATGTGACTGCACCTGACTCTCAGCTTTTTAATGTTGAGTCATCATTTGAGGTGAGGTCCAATTTACATGTGCCTAGATCAAGGATTTTTTTTACCTCATTTGAACCAGGAAACGAGAGTTTCTCAAAATAATGAACACAGTCTTTCGCTGCTCTTGATTATTGGACCCAATGGGATGTGGGAGAGGGACGGTTGGTTTGAATATAAAACAATCGATTAAAAAGGGGGACAACTTTTATTTGTTGTGGTTCAATTGAAATGAGAGAATTTCTGAAAGCTACCTGTATCATTCAACTGCTGAAGAGAATGGAAATGGGAGACCAGTTGCCCACTTGGTGTAAAGAAAACCTAAGGAATTTAATAACAGAAAACTTTACTGGTTCATGTTGCCACTCAGTGTTGGCTTCATTGGCTTTTTCACAGTGAGGCAAAGGCAAAGAAATAGCGCCCTCTTGTGGCAAAGTTGTGGATATTTATTTACAAGTTCTATGTATTTCAGCAATACGGCAGTCAGGTACATGTACGTGTATGCTGTATACATTCACATATACCTGTACAGTTTTTTAATAGCGTTTTGGCCATGTTGTATATTAATTTTCAAGAATTTTACTAAAAGATTCTGAACATTGTGTTCTTGATGAAAGTCCTCTTCAGTCATAAAAAAATTCAGCAATTTCTAAAATTCTCACCGAGTTTGGCTAATGTGGATGTACATCAGTATGTCAATCTTAATTTGGAAATGCACCAAATTGCAGTTTCAAACAGGTTATGAACTCATACGTGTATGTGTAGATGAGCTGAAAGAGGGGCAGTACATGTGTACATATATTTCTTGCAGACCAAGTTGACATGTCTTTTTCCTTACCCCCCGTTGTGTAAACATCAGGAAATTTTTTGTTTGCCATGCCATTATTTTTTTCTCAAGTAAATTCCCTTGACAGCCAGAACCAATTTGATGTTATGGTGTCATTTCATCAGTTGAAAGTGGTCACTCTTGCACATCGGCTAACAGGAGAAAGCTTTTAGTCTGGGTTGTTTAATGCCCTCAGACAGCCGTCTCTGGAGGTGGGATTATGTAGATGCTCAGTACAGAGGATGTGTCTTGATGCACGGATGAATCTTCCTCCCGGTTTTTGAGAGGCAGGGTGCAATCGTGTTGGCCATTTTGAGTAGTCCAGGGAGGCATATTAACAGAGAGCTGTGTTTACTGGCCGACAGGGTAAAAGGCTTTTAAGATTGATAATTGCTCAGGAAATTTCACATGTTGAAATGCTTGGTACCGTGTAAGCTTGTGTAAGCTTGTGTTCAGTGTGTGCTTATGCATTGAAGGTGGATGTACATGTTTTCACGTACATACAAACTACACATGGGGGTTGTCTCAAGGACGAGTTGACCTGGTTGGTGTGATGAAGGCTACCTACATGTACATGTGGGTGTAGGTACACGTTGGTCAGATCTTTTTTGTCTGCCAGGAAACGGAATGATCCATCTGCACTTGCTCTGTGTGTCTTGATAATGTTGATCAGAACGATACATGTGGATTAGACTGAGATGGTGGACTACCAAAAGTTTGAATCCATTGCCATGGTTGCGCAGTGCCATAATTTTGCGATTTAAACAGGTGAGAATCTTTTTTAGATTTGATCAAGTTAATCAATGACAGGGACAGGGGCTCTGTGCTGGTAACTGGTTGCAGACATAAAGGACAATGTAAAGTTTTTCTTGGATTTTAAGCGGGTTCAAAAGAGGAAAGAATGACTACGTGTAGTTTCCTATTTTGAAACTACACCTGTGAGCCAAATCTTGGATTCTTCCAAGAGAGCATTAGTGCTTTTGGAAAAAAATTTATCATTGGCCTGTGGCCCATGAGGCTGGTTATGATAAAAATTCTCAGAAATGTTCGGTTTTGATTCAGATTCCCTTCCATACTTTAAAAAAACCCTTTTTTCTAGCATAATCCCTCTTTGTCCCTTGTGTGTAATCTGTTTTCAAAGTTTTAGTGTGGGGGTGGAGGTTTTTTGCCCTGGTGTACTGTATTTTGTCTGTCATTTCTTTCTGAGTTACATGTACATGTATACCAGCAAAATTTGTCTCTCATCAAAAACCTTGTGACAATTTATTTTTCTCTTGTGTGACTTGTCCCCTGCTCAAGGCTAATTGGTCCTTTTATGCTGGTTACCTTGTCTTTTGGTGCCACGTTTGTATTCAGTATTTGCTCTGTATAGTAGACATCATCTCCTTAATAAAAGATGAATTACAGGCATACATAAAATCCCACACTTGTTGGTTTCTTGATGGGCTAGGAAGGAGTAACGCCTTGAAAAATATAATTTGAAATTGAGCTGCTGGTCACGTATTTGCCCCCTGAAAATTAAAACAAAAGTGAGCTTTGAATGATGAAACAGAAATTGACCATTTGATATTCAGCAGTTGTCTCTTCTCACAACTTCTTATCGGTAATTCAGATCTTGGAATATTCAGTTTTGATCGAACCTTTGCAAGCAATTTAATGCGAAAATGATAGGACACATCTCCAATATTCTTGGGAGAATGTGTTTTTAAAAGCTTTTCGGTCGTACTAGGGGTTCATTTGTGAGTTTTTTTTAAATAAACACAATAAAACACTACAGGTACAACTGTACATGTTGGCCTACATGTACGTGTATGTATGTATACATGTACATGTACATGTACGTGTATGTACATGTACAATGTGCATTATAAATATCTACATCATTCGTAATAAGAGCTAATGACAGTACATGCGTACGTGCACCATATGCTGTTGTTGAACAAAACATCGTATAAAGCACTTCAGATGACCTGCATGCTGTATCCATTCAATGTAATGATTCGCTGTGCATACTGTTTCCACGTATACACAGTTTTTCTGTACAGTACCGGTACACATCACATGCACCACGCGTTGCCTTAATAACATGTATACCAGCAACTTCTACCTTTATGCAAATACGCAAGTAATGCAAATACCGTGCAGCCTGGTGACGAGCTGAACAGATGTCTCATATGTATGTGTGGCTTTACCATTTCAAGCAGACTCGAATACCAAAAGTCCTTCTGGGGCAGGTTTTACCGTTCTGTTAGTCTCGTGAAATTAGTGTTGCGTAGAATCAGGTTGTTTTTTCTTACTGGTACAGTAGTGCCAGATATCATGGGCTGGTCTGGTGGAGGTACATGTAGTTTGCACAGGGAAAACCATTGGATCACAGTATCGGGCCATCAAGTACATGTACGTGTACATGTAACTCACCCACTGGCTGGATTTTTATTGACAACTTTGGTATGAACAGCGTGTTTGAAAGGTTGACGCCGGGGTTTGACATAAAATGACTTTGGTTGACTTCCTCCTGGGGCTGAGTTTTCTGGTGAGTGACTTTTTTTTTTTGCTTTCATACGTGTACAGGTTGTTATGCACTTTCATGCTTCTGTCTGTGTGCCAAGTAAACTACCGGTAACTTCAACCTTGTTGTCATGTTTGCTGTAATATGGAACTGTCCTGCAGGCATCCTGCAAACTCTGTCACTGTGCCAGAAACTGTAGCACTCTCGTCACACTTTTGATGGAGTATCATGCTCATAGTGCAAAGCACTAACAGTCACCATACACACCGATAGACACGACATGCATACATACCTTCCCCAATCTTGCAAAAAGAGTCAAAAACAGTCAAACGGGACAAGGGTTAATCCCCAAATTTTTACATGTACTGGTACCATGGGTTATTTGGGGGCAACCTACATCTACTACGCACAATTGAGTGTGCATGTATCTGTAATCCATTACCAGCCAAGAATAAGAGAGAAGCTGGTATGGAAACCATTTCAATCAAGCACCTGGTGCTTGTATGAAGATTGCACCGTCCGTGTATCTCCACCAGTAGGGGGATGCTGCGTAGTAAAAACAGGCCACACAAAGTTTTAAAGAGCAATCACATTGCCTTCATGGAAAAAGTTTGTTAAACAGGTAATTGGTCATTATTACCCATAAATGACTAACTTGGCAGCTCTTCTTTGCATTTGGGAGTTCATTTCCACCGTGACAACACTTGGCCTTAAAAAAATGTGTCGATGAGGAGGACAAACAAATCTATCGATTTGATGATGTCATAATACTGCTCTCATTCCCCCAGAGTTTCTTGACCTTGTGGCCGTAATCGGGGGCTTTATAGCACAAGAACAGAGAAAAATGGGTAGAGTACATGTACATGTAAATGACATGTCATTCTCTGCAAATGACCGCGGCCATCTGCCTGAAATTCATCGGGACCTTACGCCAGTCCAGATCGTAGCCT